TGGGAAAGATTGCTTTATTGGCTATAAATTGGTAAAATACAACACAAGTTTTTGTTGGTGGTTATACGCAAGTTTGTATGAAACAACACAAGTTTCAGAAATTTCAATACAAGTTTCAGAAAATTCAGCAAAAGATTCAGAAATTTTAACACGTGCGCGCTATATCATAAGGTCTTTCATGGAGTCAACTGGCGTGGTTTCGATTCCCCGGTTGTAGGGTCGTCTGTCCAAACTCCTGGGTTTTCTCCGGGTCCTCCGGTTTCCTCCCACTGCTAAAGACCCTTGCGCGCAAGCGAATTATTGAAATAAAATAGAACCATGTTTTAGTCCCGAAATGACCTAGTTTGTGTCGAGTGGACGTTAAACCACATCTCTCTCTCTCTCTCTCTCTCTCTCACTCTCTCTCTATATCTCATTTACTGGACTGACTTCTTGGGGGCATTGGTTATGTAATGGGTATAAATGGATTATCCCATTAATACTATTGTCTATAATCTCTGTCATAGCTGACTATTGTTCATTTCCTTTAGATAATCCATCTTGGGTGCCCAGTTATTGTGTAAGTCAATCCCATAATATTGGGTGAATGGCTGTATTAAATGCTACCTGGGCCCGGTTCCTAGAAAATTCTTAAAGTAAGCACAGAGTCATGCTTCACTTTTTCTTACGTAAGAAACTTATAAAAATACCGTCCCTAGAAAATTCTCAAGACCATTCTTACGAAGGCACAAGTCAAGTATAAGTCTAAGCACATTGTGACTGGTAAAGTTTACCATAAACTGAGACTACGATGCTCTTTAACGTCATAAAAACAACTTTGGTATGTGAATTACGTCTTAAATTTGTCGTCTGCTTCAATGACGTCATATATATATATATATATATATATATATATATATATATATATATATGGTTCATTTCGATGCATTTGACATGTCCCCTATTCACATATAAAATGTGCCACAAGATAAAAGAAAACGCAGACTCATACAAACTAATTGAATAATTGTGAAAGCGCCTGATGTAGCCTGTGTGTTTGTAGCCTATTGTTTACTAATTGGCAAATAAATAAAATGGTTTCTGGGTAGGCCTAGAAGCGAAATTTTCTATAGCATTCTTAATTTGAAATTTCTTCTGGAGAAGGATTTTCTCTGTCTTGTAATTGTCTCTTTGGTATCAAAAGGTGTCGGGAATGCCGTCGAATAACTCTACGGTCAGCCATCTTTTTGAAGCAGAAACAGACTTAAGGTTGGTAAGCAAGCCGTATACCTTGCTTGGGACTTGTGCTTAGATTGACTATGTTTAAGAACGAAGTTGTGCTTAAGTTTTTTCTTGGAACGCATAATAACGTTCTTGTGCTTACAATGAAGTCTACTTAAAATCTAAGCACAAGAACGTTCTTAAGAACTTTCTGGGAACACAAAATAAGGTAAGTTTACTTAAATGCAAAGTCTACTTAAATCTAAGCAAAAGAACGTGCTTAAGAATTTTCTAGGAATCTGGCCCTGGTCATATTATTATCAAAATTGATAGCAGTCACGCCAACCTAAGCCACCAGAATTACCTGATTTTCAATATCAAAGGGCGATACTAAACATTAATATAATTACAATATTTATACACACTGATGAATAGGACAAATAGTGTCAAATATATTTATATGGTTATATTAAAGGTTTCATGTGAATTCAGTATAACGTTTATTACTACTCAATAGCAAGATAACAAAAAAGTAATATACCGGTACCAACAATAGCTTGACAAATAGACATACTATCACCCATAATTTTCATAACGCGAAATGAAATATTGAGTTGAACGTCTTACTTTTCTGCACCAATCAGGCTACTTAAGACGAGCATCAAAATGACTTGTCTTCAATATCATCCTCGGTGGATGCGGGTGTTAATCTCCACGACTGAAATGATGTGCCTACTTTTATTTCGAATTGCAACCGTCATGAGTTCTTCTACGTACACCCCAATGGTTGATTGCCCATATATTATAATTTTCATTTAAGAAAAATAAAATCAAATGGACAGAAAAATGAAATTTAGTTTGAATTTCCATCTCTGTTATATAAGATGAATTATGATCCTTCAATTACCTGATGTATAAAACACCTACTTCCGTCAAAGTTCATCTACACGTGGGTCAAAATTTGTAATACAAGGGTTACATTAAATATATTATGTAAATTAAATATATTATGTTTAAAAATCTTATTTGAAAGAACTTAATCTATACACCTAAGTGTTCAAACCTTGCTTTAACTCGAGGGAATGTCTTATTAATACAGTATTTGGAGACAAAGGTTTGTTTTGGTCGAGAAAATGTAACGTCGCCTATTAGTCTTGCTAATATAAAATTGTTTAACAAAAACCCATTAATGTGATACGTTTGTATGTGGTTTCATTCTAATTATCGTAAAAATGTGTTCTGTTAATAGTTAATGGACTGTTTGTTTGTAGTGATAGTGATTTGATTAACAGTTCTATGCTAACAATGAAATCGATACAACGATATTATAATCATTGACATTTATGTATTGATAAAGATATATCAACAAAAAAAAAGTTTGCGTTTCCTTATAGTGCTGTTTTGTTGTCCACCGTTACGAGGATCCAGATGCGACCATCCTGCCACTCCTAAATAGCAGTATACAAATTTACTTTTGATTAAATCTCATTCAATATAATTATTACAGTGTATTGGGGTTGTAGCTTTTGAAATTAGGTGTTATATTTGGGTCCAGATATGCTCCTAAAATCTTCATCGCCCCGATTTTTCAAAACTTTTTCAAATTTCGGAACCCCCAATCGGTGTTCAAATGCTACAGCACCAATAAACTCTATTCTTAGTTTAAGATGATGATTAGTTTACACTACTTGAATCCATGTCCAAAATGATTAAACGTCGAAGCAACTAATCTTTTGTAAAATAAATGTTAACGTTTTGGTCAAATCCCTTTGTCTCCAATAATTGTAAACTAATTACATTGATATTCTATGGCATAGACTATGTGTAATATTTCGGGGTAACGTAATATAATGGATTGATGTATTACTTTTTAAATGGGAACGTACAGGTACAGGATCAAAAGGTCACAATGCTTAAACTCTTATCATTACATCAATCTGTTCACAGGGGTATTAGTCAATAGTATGAAAGCCTTCTTATACCTCTGTATTAGATGACTGACCTTTATAAGCTCAAGTATACCTTCTACATGTGACGTCCATCATTGACTGTAGTGGCTGCATTGTTTACTAATTAAATATACCCATTTACACTAAATAGGATATATTTTTTATGTAGATGTATTCCAAGCACCTTTATTTATTTTTCTACGACTTCAAAAAAATGTTTTAAAATTTACTTTGCAGATGGAAAAAAAATGCGAGATCATTAAGCCGCGCGGGAGATGCTAATTGTAGACCGGTTGAGAAGGTTCGGATATTTCCGGTTAGTATTCCCCAAAATAATCTTTTATATAAAGTGGCCATTGTGGAATTTCCCAAGCCGTACCGATGCACACTGATCAGCAGTGAATTGTCGCTAACATCGATGACATCGATGCGACTTAATGAGCCAGAAATATTAACTTTTTTCCTGCGACAAATTAAATTCTAAAACATTTTTGTTATGTACTGGAAAGGTAAATAAATTATTTCCTATTTAGTGTTAATGGGTATTAAAAAGACTAAAATGCAGCATTCCGCCCGAAGCAGTAATAACTTATGTAAACAATGCATGCGCCATTCAGCCAATAATTGACGCCGCGTGCTGTGACGGCACGTGTTAAGGCAGTCATCTTTAACAGAGATATTACTACTAGACTCGTAATTCTCTGTGAAACAGATTGGTACCTATGTCACCCCTCTCAGTGATTGTAGTGGCCTAACCAATATTCACTGCTGATCAGTGTGTCATTAGATAAGCAAAAGTTAAAAATGGTGTGTATTCTTACTCTCACCTTAAATGTTGAAATCTCTAACATAAATAAGGCGATAATAGATGAAATGGCCAAATTCCCAACCGGGGTTTAATGGCCTACTATTCTGCTCCATCCGGAATAATAAAACGTGCAGTATGTTATGAGGGAATTTTACGTGTAATAGGAGCTCGCGGTTTTTCGTCTCATCCGAGCAACTATATATACGCGTTCCTTGCTAAACACGACTGACAAGGTGAGCAACTTGGGGGTTTGTTCGAAATGCTTGTTTCGGACTGTCGGATCTTTGTACTGTACACCTTGGATTGAAACATGTGAATAATTATAAACAATCCAGCAAAAACTGTGTTGAAATCCATCAAACGCTGAGGGCAGGGCAACTTTATTTTTACAAATCGAATGCTTACATTTCCCTCGTTTAGGTGCCGTCTATATTATCTCTTTTATTAATATAATTACAATATCTATACACACTGCTAAGGGTGTCAATATACAATATCTATATAGTTATGTAGAAGGTTTAGAATGAATTTGTAATAAATTGAACAATGATTAATGGCTCAAAGCAAAAATCAATATAACGTTACAAGCTATAACTTGACGAAAGAGACATATCGCCCATATGTTTGAACACACTTAAAATAAGATCGCAAAATGGACAAAAAAAGCAATAAAACTATAACCCTTTAATGAAATTTAGTGTAAATTCTCCTCCCTACCATATGAATTATCATCGTCCATTGACCTGAAATATATAACACTTGTTCTTCCGCCAACGTTCGTATACACGTCTCTGTCAATTCGATTGCGAATATATAGTTTTCAATTCAACAGCTGAGAAATTAACGATATCTTTTTTATATTTATGAAAAAGAAACTTAATTCTTAAACCTATATTTCCCCAACCCTTCTAATGATTTGACAAAATGTCTTTTTAATGCGGTATTTGGACACAAAGCCAAAGGGTTGTTTTGTAAATAATTTGTCGAGTTTACGTTAATATAATGCTTTTAATACCCATTATTGGAATATAACAGTACAGTGCGTGTATCATAATGTACTTGTACTGTTAATAATTAATCGAATATTTGTTTATAGTGATATAGTTATATTCTAACAATGGAAATGATATATTCTACAGATAAATCAATGCAACAGTTATTGACGTCTGTACACAGATAAACATTCATATTTCACGTTTGATTAGCTTTACTCTCAGTCTGACATCATACTGCGTCAAGATGTATCTTATTCTGCGAGTCCTCGCATTAATGACTGGCGTATCATTGATAACGTCTACGTTTTACAGTGACCATAGTCTCCTGAGAAACACTTTATTTTCTACAGATCGTTACGATCCACTCATCCGACCAGTTAACGATACCAATGAACCGTTAAAGATGTACGTGTCATTTGGTTACAGTCCTTCAATAGAGCTCGACGAGACTGTCCAATTGATGAGTGATTCTTACTGGTTTCGATTTAGCTGGACAGATCACTTCTTAAAATGGAATCCCGAGAATTATTCAGGAATATCTCAAGTCTACGTACCCCAGTCCTCCATATGGAAACCTAGAATAGCGATGTATCAAAGACTCAATAACCCATCACTTACCGTGAACGAAGAGGCACTTGCATCCGTTAATTCTTCGGGGGTTGTGGCATTCGATATCAGTATCCATCCAAAGACTCGATGTTTAATGGAAATTAGCAAATTTCCATTCGATGTGCAAACATGTGTCTTTTTTATAATGGATGAATATTTATCAGAGGGAGAATTATATTTTGACGTTCAAAGCGTGCTGGTTATGGACGAACCGGAGAGTGAATGGATCTTACAAAGTCAAAGTGCAACAGTTAGCACCAAATACGGCAGAAGCATTGTAAACTTTCAGTTTATCATAAGACGCCAGCCAAGTTTTTACGTAATAACAATTATCATTCCACTCGTCACAACGGCTTCCCTAAATCCTCTAGTATTTCTTATTCCTCCAGGTTCGGGTGAAAAAATCTCAGTAGCTGTGACAATTTTGTTGTCATATACAGTGTTTTTAAATGTAATAAGCGGAATCTTGCCAGAAACTTCCACCTCTACATCGATTGTCTCGGAGTATATCACAACTCTCTTTGTCCTTAGTGGACTCTATACAATATTTTGTGTGATAATCGTCAAGATAGACAACACCAATTGGTCTCCGGGGAATTGCGTTTTTTTCAGGTTACGGGATCGGCGAGTCAGCCACAAGACAGACAACACTGCCTCTGATAAATCTTCTGGTGAACCCGTGAAGAATGTTAGTACGGCTGTTATGTTGGATAGAATCATGTTTGTTCTTTGCTCATTTGGGTCTACAGCTCTGACTTGTTGGTGTTTTGCTTCTATTTTAAGATAACAGGGACAATAACTTACAGTAGTAATCTATTTTAAGATAACTGGAAGGATAATAACTGTACTTACACTTACAGCCTTGTGGAAGAACAACAACTGTACTTATACTAGTAGCCTATCTTAATTGGAAGAACGATAACTGTAGTTACACTAGTGGTTTATTTTGAGGTAATTGGAAGAACGATGACTGTACTTAAGCTAGTGGTCGATTTTAAGATAATTGGAAGGACAAGTTACACTTATAGTCTATTTTAAGATAACTGGAAGAACAATATAACAATACCGTGCTTGCACTTATTATTGTAAGATAACTGGAACAAAAATAACTGTACTTCAATTACAGTCTATTGAAAGATAACTGGAAGATCCATACTGTACTTACACTTAAAGTCTATTACAAGAAAACTGAAAGAACAATAACTGTACTTACACTTAAGGTCTATTTTAAGAAAACTAGAAGAGACATACTGGACTTACACTTAAAGTCTTTTGTAAGATAATTGGAAGACCTATACTGTACTTAAACTTTCAGTCTATTAAAAGATAACCGACAGAACCATTTGTACTTTGTATCTGGAATGGATTTACATTTTAGAAATAGGCAACTAATGTACAATACGTGTGTTATATTTGTCCCTTGAATACCGGAAAACACCGGAAAAACACTAAATACCGGAAAACACACTAAATACCGGAAACATCCTAAATAGGTAACTCAGATGTTTTCCGGTGTTTTCCTGTATTTTCCGGTTGTTTTCCGCTGTTTTCCGTTATATAGTATTGCCGTTCAAAAACCAGTGGACAATTTAAAAAATATTGAGTGAGTTTTCTATGTCGTCATTTCCGTGCAATAAGACAGTAGTGTTTCGATGGATAGTCAGTAAATTATTAATTGTATTATTTCGGGCACTTATAATCTATTTTAAGATAATTGGAAGAACAATAATAATTGTACTACGAAATCAAGGGCGTGTAAGATTTGTGCGTATAAAAAGTATAAGATATTGATTATGATTAGTTTAGTTAATTGTAGTGCATACTATTAGAGCTATGGATAATACCAAAAATACAGAATTTGTGCTGTCAACTTAAATGTTGAAACTTCCCATATACATAAGGCGAAAGATAAAAAATATTGCAATTCACAGCTGTAATGAAGCAATGGACTGCTAGGTTGAATAAAAAAAATAAAGGCTTTGTCTATTTTCTCATATAAGATTATTAATGAATAATTAACTGACTGATTCACGGCTGATTTTAAGGCCCGGTCCGCTATTCGTACAAACGCAGGTAGGGGTCTCAGTCCAACATTCCGGTAATGGAAAGTACGTTTCGGTGAAGTGAATTTCCTACTACGATTACCATGTGAAATAGCATCCGTAACATGTCTGTTAGTGAACACAAATATTGAATTCGAACTAATAACAATAATCTATTTATACTGTATTATGTCATATATTTTTTTTATTAACTTTGCTGATATTTACAATTGTTCGCTGTGCGTGCTATACCAGTCATTGTCAGTGTGTGCACTCTGAACAACCACTGGATTGAAATTCCTGCGCTATCACAAGACGATTATTATTGACAGTTAATGGTATGTAACGAATCAAGTTGGTCCCTACAGAAAACATCCATATAGATTAATTTAGCACAATACGTAAATATTTATATCGTAGTTTGAACTATTTAATGCGACTGTGTAGACAGATCTCTTGAACTAGAAAACATAAACTCAAATTGAAACCCTTTATGTTTATTCATTATTAATCAACATATTCATTTCTTTTTCATGCTGACGCGTATTGGGGTGGTTTGGGTAAATTTCAATAATTTGTTGAATCGAACGATTTCGGGTTTGTTCGAAATGCTTGTTTCGGACCATCGGATATTTGTACTGTACATATATGAATAGACACCACCCGGTTAACAATGTGTCAAAACCATCAAAGGCTTGGGTAGGGCAACTTTATTTTAACAAATCTGAAGCCCAAATTTGCCTCGGTTAGGTGACACTTCCAATCCTTTTGTTTATCAACTAAGCAATTAGATCCAGATTATATTTTTGTTTGAATCCATAAAAAGTTTACGGTCTAATGTGCTCTATTCCATCCAATTTCAACAACGCAGAATAATACCCAACCAAGAAATGTACCCTCCATATGTAGCATAAATGCCGTAGTTCTAGAAAAGCCGAAACATCCACACACACAGCATTCTCAACAAATCTGGTTGGAATTTCTTTAAGGGTTATTCAAGAAAACAGTTTTTAAGTTTGCCTTTTGTTAAATTCTAACTAACCTGAATATGACAAAATGTGTCCTTTCACCTACTAAATATATTGTTGGTATTCATTTAGAACAAATGAGAAAATTGTATTCCTTAGAATTGTGATCTGCGTATTTACAGATCAATTGTGAAATGTCATTGAACCTATCTACTAGACATTGTTGATATTCATAAAGAAAAGATAGAAATATCATATAATCCTAGTATGCATATGATTACAATTAGATATGTCTGATCACAAAGAATGGATTCATTTCTCGAGGTTTCATATTGGTTAATTTTCTATGGAATCATATTTTCAATGATTTATACTCATTAATTGGTGTGAATGGCCACTCTATGGATTATAAGCCCGCGGCCATTTTGTTATCTTCTGTATACACATTTTATTTACTCAACTTTACCACATGAGCACAATAAGGCACTGAGTACACACGGAACAGGTTTTGTGAAGTGTTTGTTGAAATTACAACGTATTATGATGACTCAATACATTAGTGGTTAGATGTACATAAGGACGATCCTGTATATGATGCGTTTCTAATTAAATATTTTTTGTAGTTTGTCAAATTAAAGGATATCGCCTATATTCATAAATGCCCTTTATAAAATACAGAATTATCTGCAGTACCACATTAATATCAGTTATTGGTGTGTTCGTGCAAATTCAATCCTTCTTTTGTTAAAACTGTGTTAATAACCATGCGGTAACTTTAAACATAATTATTTTCTGTCCTCTTTTATTGATTGTGTTACTTTACAGGCAATGGACGCTTGTGGATCCATTCACTTGATTTGATATTTCCTTCGATGTTTTACAGTGACTGTGTTGTTTTGTGTTTGTCCTATGGGTTTCTGGTTAGCCCTTTACGGTCCATTTACTATTAAATACTACAACAAACAGCAATATTGTGAAGACATCACTTCAGAAAATCAAATGGTAGATCCCCTTTAAATAATGATTTTCCTTTAATTACATTGAATACATATATGTGTCCACCGAATGTGTATATTTGAACTACGGGTTACAAGTAGGTAAGATGTAAACATGAATGTATTTTTAAAACTGTGGTCTATCTAGAAACGGGTTGGCGATGGCCAGGAGCGGTCCATTTACCGTTAGGATATATAATTTTTAATTGTTATTTAAATACGAAATAATGTATCATAAAATATTAGGTTTGCTCTTTATCGCAATTACCTTGGAATATCTATTTATTGTGTGTAAGTATAATATCTTTATTTTCACACTGTTATAAATGTAAAAAAAGGATGATACGTGATAAGTGTTCACAACATTTTGTTGAGCCAACGTACATTCCTGATCGTTTCTATGAAAGTTAACCGAAGCAAATAATTAATAGTGTCAGGAAATATGTTTATATTTTATTTATTGGGATAACGAATATGTTTTGTTCTATTTGTAATGATTTGAATGCACCTCTTCATTATTATCTGTATATTAAAACCATTTTTTGAAGGTGCCAAACAGTGTTATCAATGTTCTAATCGTTCGAACGGGGCAAATTTTCAAGATTGTCCTAAAGATGGAAGTGTTAATCCCGATACAATTTATAAAGCTAATTGTAGCGGTCATTGCTTTACTCGAACAAACAGTACAGATAAAGAAGGCTAGTAATACACAAAATATATCTTTATAGTGGCATTTCTGCATATATTACGCCTATGTATTATGTTAATATCATTCCCATGTTGTTGGGCCTTCTTTGATTGATCTTTAATATGTATTTTCTAATTGTATTGTGTACTCTTTGGAATGTTGCACGGTTCTACTTCATGTTATAGTCACATACTGAGTAGGATTTCAAAACTGACCAGAAATGAAAGGGTACGCCCATCTTCATCACATTTGGTCTAAATTGCTATTCCATTTTTTTGATAACAAAATAGGAAGACAAGAGTTATAAGAACTGATAAAACAGCCTAGTACAAATGAAATGGGGTTACGTTTTACTATTGTGTAGCAACTGGGCTAATGAAGACGGGCATATTCCATGCTGTGTGCCAAGGTGGGGTTGCAGACAGTCGCGTTTCGAATTTCAACTGTCAATGGTTCGAACCACCAGACGTTGTTCCTTGCCACCAAGCTCTCCGCCATACACCACCGACAAGGGGAAAACCCTTTTCAAAATCCATTACCAAAAACACCCAAAGAGCTTCTATATATGATTTATATCCGCCATTAGCACATTTAGTGGATTTGGCGCGATATGAATAGAAATTATTATTATCAGATCTTTCAATATGACATTCCAAAGCTTAAAAATGAGACCTTGGACATTATATTAAATTTGTACTATACTTTGTAATGGCTATTTATCTATTGTTTGAAAATTCATTGGTTATGTTTCATTTTGTCAGTGATATATAGAGGTTGTGTCGATGGACAATATGGTCTACCAGCTCCTATGCCCAAAGATGGCTGCTATGAACATAAAAATTCAACCTGGTGTATCTGTAATGGCGACCAATGTAACGCCGTTCCTTTCGGTAGGTTAATGATTGGCAGGTACTAAACTTACTTTCGATTTATAACATCAAAAACAAAATAAGTTAACTATGGGAAATTTTTGCCCGGAACGGTATACTTTTATATCGAATTCAAATTGCCAACGGTTCTTTTATGTGAACGCCAATGTGAACACCAATGCCAAGTGGTAACCACGCCGGAAAATCCCAATTATTTTCTTTCTGAGAGCCTTCTGTAACACTGTTTCAGAGGCCAGGGACCTGTTTCACGAAATTTTAACTAAAGATAAAATCCATATAAGTTAACTATGGGAAATTTTTGCCCGGAACGGTATACTTTTATATCGAATTCAAATTGGCTAAGCACTAAAATCAATCTTATATTACCCAATCAAATTACAAAAATTTGGATTTTATCTTAGTTAAAATTTCGTGAAACAGGCCCCAGACTGCAAAGAAAACTGCTTACAGCAAACTTTGTTTGAGGAAGTGTACAAACAAGAAATAGACTCCCACATGCATACTTCATAATTATTTAAACATGTTCATATTAATTAGCATAACTGTCAACCAAAGTGTTTTCTCTATGTCTTTATCATTTTATTAATCCAATTTTACATTATGTTATATATAGTATTCCATCTTTTATTTCTTTAAGGAAATTGGACAGGGATTGATATATTTGCTCATCTAAATGGTAAGACAATTGCAATAATATATTGTTTTAATAGCCCTAACAAATCGTTTGATTCGTTCATTTGGCCCAAATAATTACGTTTTATGTGAATGATTTCTTATTATGCTACTTCCTATTAATTCTGAATTATGGATATATTAAAGGTTCGGTTATTTCATGCTTGTTGTAGGTCCAAAGAAATGTTACACATGTGGACAAACTGTGGATGGCGAGTATTATTCATATTGTCCTTCGAATACAACAGTAAATGAAACTGCTGCTGGTAAACAAAGTTGTGAGGGATATTGTTTAACTCGTACAGAATCTACACAACCAGATAGTAAGTTTTTTCTTAATTGATTAATTAATAATTGCTTTATATCAAAAAGCTTCGGCTTCTGAAAGCTATCACCGCATACTAAACTTACGCTATCTACTACTAGATCCGCCTGTGAACAGAAACTTAGTTAACCAACATTTTAATTCCTAAATCGACGGTTTTCGTCGAAACCACTCAGCATATTTCTCGAATTTTGAAAAGTATTTATTTCGCTTCCATTTAATACGATAGAGAACGTTTGTATATTCTTTATGTGCATGGCAGTTCTGAAACGGAATAGAACCGCATTGCAAAATAGTATGCTAATTTTTAGATATGGTGGCCATTGAGGGCAAATATCTATTCTCGAAGTAGTTAGTTCTCTGAGTGCAGAACGGTATCGCCGGTGTTAACCTTAGAAGTGAGTGAAGGGTACATTGATTAACATTTCACTAAGCAATGGATGGAATATTATTTCAATACGAGGGCTGGCTGAAACGTTCTAAGCGTACCAACGCTGTTACAAGGAATGGATGCCGGTCAGGAAGGAATTTTCTTCAGCAACCCTAAAAAAAGGCTGTTCACAGGAAAGTGACGACCAGCTAGCTACTTTTTCATTTTTGGAAACAGGCCTCATCCATGGTTACATATCTGGCCAAACAATTACCAAGATCCGCTTCAAAACGGTGCAAATTGTCACGGGACTTTAAGAATCTGACACGTTTCTGATCCGCAATCAAAAGCTTTCGAGCCCATCTTGCAGAAACTTTTATCATTCCTAACACTTGTGCCCAACTTCTCATGAGCGATGCCCACAACACTGGCAATGTCGAGTGGCCAAACGCCGATCACCATGTAATGCACCCGGATAATGTTTTCTTAAATGGGTGCTGCTGGTGGCCTTTCTCTACCACTGCCACGCTTAAATTCCGAAGCTCACTTCCTTACTGTGGAAAATGAAGGGGCACCATCCCCTAAAGTGGGCACCATATCGGCATGTATCTGTGTCGGGGTTAGTCCTTTCAGTTTGTAGGTACTTGATGACTGTCCTATAGCCAGTTGTGACAATTTCTGGTGATTTCAATGGGTTAATTCACATGATGGTCTGATACGAAGACAATAATAACACTACAGTTGTAGTTCTTATGTCTATGATTCATTAAATGATTGTACTTGTTGGTAGCAAAAGTTTGTTCAACCTAAACGATCTATCCTTTTCGGGCTTAGAACATTTCAGCCAGCCCTCGTATCACAGTCACTTACCTCGAACGTTCGAACATCCGCGCATGTTTCTAAATAACTTTAATCAATTTGTTGATTCTTTAATTAGCTTTACTTCTAACGAACTAAATTTTATCTACTTCATATCAAATGTCTGCTCCCATTTCATTATATCAGTCTCCAATATAAATACGAACATGAATATCATCGGCGCATATTGAATTAACTCTTCACTAGGTTCCCAGTACAAATCCCCCGATTGTACGTCGCATATCTGTGTTTTGGGTGCTTTAAAGACATTGTCTGTCAGTTAAGTAATGTCTACTTCCAGTTCATTATAATAGTCTCCAATACGAACATGTAAACCATCGGTGCATATTGAATTAAGTCTTTACTCGGATCGAACCAATACCAATTTCCCGATTGCACGTCGCCTATCTGTGCTTTCATGGCGTTTTAGGCTTATAGAAATGGTTGGAATTTCAAATAAAATAATGATCTTTTTTTTACCTTTGAATAAATTTTATTTCTAGTGGTATATCGTGGATGTCTGGATTCTATAAAAGGATTACCATACCCACTGCCACCAACTGGGTGTTACCCTTACAGAAACGAAACATGGTGCATATGTAATGGCAACCTTTGTAATGAGAATGCATTGGGTAAAGTTTTTTAAACTTTCTATCATTAATATGTTTGTGCCAATGTTAAACACTAATCTATTAAACAGGCATTATGCTGGAGCTATATCTGCCTATTGCAGGTCTTTCTTTAGGCCTTAAATGTTATATAAATTATTAATTAGACATTTATTAACCAGACAACTCTCGATTCCATCGGGTGGCTCCGATTTTATGCAGATTAGAGCGGTTCGGCAATTTAATCATTTAATTTTAAAATGGAGAAGCGACGCTACGCCTTGAATAACCAGCACCGTGGTTACGATAATAAACACTCAATGCACACATCTTGTCAAAATTATAAACATTGATAACTTCGCAGAATAAAGTAATTTGAACGAAATCTTCAATATATTCATTTTGCATTATCTATTTTCGAACTATTATAGCAAGAACGGCCAATCGTTTAATTTAATTATTTTTAGGGAAACCAAACGATATTGCATTAGATGATCACGTCAAAGGTAAGCATATATCGTGATATCTTATTTTCGATTTACTTTTATCAATGTAACTTTCACTTTTTTTTGAAAGCTCAGTATTTTAATGCCAGCTTGTCAGTGGGTGTTGTAATACAGATAGGCTGGAAATAGGAGAAATTAGGGAAAGGTTTAGTTGTGCGAATAACACCATTCCACATTCGGTGTTAGTTAACGAGCTTCCTGACTTTGTTTGGGTCTAAAAACCTACAATTAACATAAAAGTATTATTCGCTGGTACGTGTAAGATTATATTATGATTATCCTACTTTACCCATTGTCCTTCAGGTATGCAACAGTGTCATGTGTGTAGAAACTATGCAGCCGGTCAGTATTATGCACAGTGTCCCTTAAATTCTAAGGTGATTGCACAAGGTACGTGGAAAGAAAATTGTACAGGAGCTTGTTTTACAAGAACAGATGATATCGATGAAAAATGTAAGTTAAGTCTCACCTTGTCATTTTAGTATCCTCCGCATGTAATATAAACATCATCAACCAATGCACTTTACTCACTTGTGTCGGAATTTCGAATATTCTTATTGGAATATCTGTCGCTGCCCGAGATGAATATACACTATTATCAGAGACGTATACTTATCGTTGAGTTTCAATTGTCAGGACGGACTGGTGTTGGATATTGGCAAAAAAATAATTATTTTATGAATAATACCAATCAATGACTGTGTTTCTCATTATTTTTCACCGGTGCCTGTTCTGAAAAACACATTTTTATTTATTCTTATTTTTCCATAAAACATCTTGCATTTAAATAACTAATACTGAAAACAATTGCGAATTCTATTTAAAATCTTAAATATCTTATGTGATCATGTTACGCTAGCAAACATATTCAGGGATCTTTAAGCTGTACGAATAATCCTCTGTCAAACGTTCAATTGACAGGACAAGGTGCTTTCGTTATTTTATTTATAGTAAGCGTATTAATCACTTACGAAATTTAACATTTGAGTACGCACCGGATGCCCCAAATACACCTTCAAGTACACGTACATTTAAATCCCTTAAATATATGGTCTTTATAACGCGTTTGCGTTTTCAGATTGACCATTCCAGCTGATCCCTTATAAACCGTTTTAAAATAAATTACAATTTTCTAGTGGTCTATAGAGGATGTATGGATTCACAATGGGGATTACCCAAACCCCTTCCGCCTGATGGATGTTATACATATTATCTGGAAGTTTGGTGTATATGTCATGGGAATCTTTGTAACGGTGACGGTATAGGTGAGCTTTCTTTACACTGTATCTTCATTCCCTGTGTCGCTTCAGTTTAATTGGAAACACGCAAATAGGAAGAATTTAAATCATATGAACCGTGCTCATTCTAAATGACATCGCATTAAAGAATATTCATCGAAAATTATGAAATTTAAACTCATTATTAGAACAAAGTGGATTGATATCCGTTGTCCACGAGACAGATCCATCGAATGAAATTCTGATAATATGAAACATTAAATTTGTAGTGCAAAAACACACGGTCAATTTTTAAATTCTCAAACCTTTTGTTCTCCAATAGATTTCACCATTTTGTCATTACAGGAATACCAACTGTAGAATTTGATGCACATATAAAGAATGGAACAGGAACAATACATTTTATGCATCTTTTATATTCCTTGTCTGGATTCTCTTTATTTTATTTCATTAAGAAAATAATTTAAAGGGAACAGATTTTTGTGAATAGATGTATTATACATAAAGAGTTTTATGAGATACAGAACAAAGAATTTAAATAGGCCTACTATTCTTTCAATTGAGAACATTTTTAAAGAAAATTAACTATCTCGTTTGGATAGATAACTCGTCACCTGAAAGGAATAATATTGTCGATAGAAAAATAGAAAAATCGATGACATGATCTCAGATACATTTAATCAAAACTACAGTAAATTTGTGTTGGATAAACGATTACAGTCGCACCCTTGAAGAGATAAAATACCTTTACAATTACAGTAGAAAGAATTCTATACAGAATACCCATTGAATTTGAGATAATGTGTCCAGTTATAATTATAGAAGAAAGCATTCAATGCACAACACTCGTTCAATTTGAGAACTACTGTGGAACGTATCAGTACAACATTTTATTTAAAAACTTTTAGGTTTTGAAGAGATATCCATCCTTTTTAATAGATTTAACTTTGTTCTGTGTGATCAAAACAGTTATGAAATAGGGAACCAATCACCAAGTCTCTTGCCGTTGCACTCGTCTTCGCTACAAAAACACCAAATATCGTTTTCGATAACATCACATCCATCTACAATATAGGTGTTCATCCACGATGTTTGCATACACCCTCTCTCAACAACAGCTAAATAAATATAAAGAACGACGATGTTAAAATCTAAATATTCAATTCTATTCCGGCAGGTTTGCTTAGCAGTTTACCAGACTATAAGACGCAGTGGTTAAGAACATACATTCTAAGTAATGCTCCTCGACGAATCAATCACCTAGTTTTATGCAAATTATATAAAGTTTAGAATATAAAATAATTGTTGAAATGTCACTTAATGAATTTGTTTAGGGTTATTCTTAGACATACACGTGCAGGTATACTGTTGAATTAGATTTACCATTGAAAATGCATGTGCAATTACACCCTATCGTTTGATAAGTAAAATAACTATAATAAAACTTACCCCCACCATCGCCATGTCTCGTTCTAATATAACACTTTCCATTGCACTGTACCTTTTCACTCGAAATAACATCTCCTTCAGCTGGACAGTTGAAGTTTGGTTTTATGGAATTTCCATTATTACACTCATAACAATTAAATCCATTACCTAGATAAAATGAAAAATGCTTAGGTTATCTTATACGTAGAAAAAAGTATCAATTCTATGTCATCTGCAATGAAAACGTAGTTGATATATGCTCTAAGAATATTATTAATCAAAATGTAGCAAATAAAACAGTTCGGAAAGCAGTCCAAGCATTATGTCGATGTATTTTATATCAACAATGTCAGTGATGACATACATCTTCTATGGTATTACATTATGAATTATTACTTTTGGTCAATTGTTACATGTTTTAAAAAAGATATGATATTTAGAAAATTTGTAATTCTATTTGTAGCTTTTAGGTTTAATATATAAAAATCATTAATGATATGGCTTACCTAGGTTAAATAGAAGAACAAGAAGTAGGCATTCAATAAGTGGCGTTACTTTATCCATATTTCTTTATACTGTCTACAGCTACCTTCGGTCTCTAATAAATATTAGTATTGATACATAAAGTGTAATAGCACAGTGTTTAATACAAGTTCCTTCGTTGTTTTATTTCTACATAAAAAAGAAAAGTTATTCGATCTCTTCTGAAGGTAAACAGTTGTTTATTTACTCCCAGTTTCTTTTGTAGACTAGATTTTTTAAGTACGGTGTTCTTTTACGTTCTAAAACAATTCTTATTCAGTGCGTAAATCCCTTGAAATCGAAGGTCATGTTTCCTTTGTCAACAAAGAAATCATCGAGACCCTTTGTTTTAGGTGGGTAGAGAATTGTAAATTTTGAAAGGTATGTAGAAATACTTTTAAATCAGAATGTTTAAAACTTTAAATATTTGCCAAAATTCTGTACGCTGTATTCGATGTAAGGTTTTTACTAGTAGGGTTGTGTGTGAAAAATGTCTATGTAATTTTATGTTCTATAAATATTTTAAGAATTGATTTTTATTGCGAATTATATTGGGTTTTTTTAATGTAATTTATGCTCTATAAATATTTTAAGGATTATTTTTATTGCGAATTGTTTTTGTATTGGTGTAATGATATAATTAAATTGCATTGTTCTGTTTGTGTCATTAATAAAAATATGTAATTAGAATTTAAATTTTACCTGTTCTATATTTTAAATCTGCAACGTTATCAATTTTTGTACATCTATTACAGAGACTTTTCTTCGTAAGTGTTTCGCTAAACTAAATTGCGAATTAAATTGATTTTGTATTGTTGTAATGATATAATTAAATTGCATTGTTTTTGTTTGCGTTATTACTAAAAATATGTAATTAGATTTTAAATTTTACCTGTTCTATATTTTTAATCTGTAACGTTATCAATATTTGTACATATAGAGACTTTTCTTCGTAAGTGTTTCGCTATACTATGCTGTGTTACATATTTTCTTTTTGAAACAAAAAACAAAGAGACTGTTTAGCTGGCAGTGTACCCAGATCAACTGTAACTGTGTCTATTTGATGTTACAACCAGAGAAAGTGTAAACAAGTAAATGGATTTTCAACTTCTGGTGTCCTCTTCGTTACTGGTTAATGTGGATCATGTGATCGCTGAGGTGACATGTATCATTCCTATCCTTTTTGTTTTCCTCTGTGTTTTATTGAATTATAAAATGGCGAACTATTGTACAATATTAAGTATTAGTCTGGGTTTTGTTATAACTTTAACACAGCATGTTATATGTAAGTATTTTTAAGTACATGTCATGATACATTCTTTTTATCTCTTGTTTTAAGCTTTGCGCAATCAAAACTACTGGGTTCTTTAATAGCTTGTATTTTAGAACAGTGATTTGATTAAATTAAAACAATCAGAAATGCAGGGTTTCGTTATTCCAACAAATCTCCAGTAGATAAAAATAAAATATAACATAAGTTTATTCTAAACATATTTTTATCACCAAGATCTGTTATTTAAATTACATATTCAATTTTAAACATTTTAGTCAAAACTTCAAACCTGCATTGTAAAAACTATTTGATGTGGACCCTATGTACCATTCATACTTGACTAAAATTTGACTAGAGCTACCAGCCGTACGGAAGTACCCAGTAAAGATAATGTTTAGGTCATCCAAAACAAAGTAAATGTTTTGTCAAAAACGTAGAAATCCATATTGCCCTCGATGTCGAACATATCCGTATGTAATGTTGGAAGTATCGGCGAGAACAATGCTAAAACCGTATGTGTTTTTCTACATTTAAAGGTAGAAATAAGACGACTGTCCCTAGACGTTGGTCAGGGTTTAACGATAAGTAGGTCGGTTAGCCATCGATGTGGTCAATGGTTTTATCCGTGGAAGTATCTATGTTGATGTTTAACATTAGTTATTAAAAATGGTTTTTCGACAACTATTTTCTACTTAATACCTAGATATGTAAGATATCATATTTAGGGCCAGTTATAAAGGAATTCAATGGATTTTGTTTTACAGTCTCAGTTGGAATTATGCTATTAACATTGACATTAGTATTTGTTTATTGTTGTTGACATCGTGAAGATAACCGTACAAACTAGAAGTATGATTGCAGAGAATAGAAGCTATTTAATGTTAATTCTCGTCTTTTTGACCGGCTCTAACTTTTTAACAATTTTCGTTGAGTAGAACCTTTCTATCCTACCTCAGATAGTGCTACATGTGACTGTGGCATCATCTTAAAAAGGCCAACTAGAAATAAATAATGGTTTATAGGGCTTTTACTTCCATTTATTTCACGTCCAAATGAGGTAAATCAGTAATTTATAACTCCAAATTAATATAAACAACCTTAAAAAGAGGGATATAGAATCCTTGTCAGTTTTTTTTTGAATGGTGCGAAACGACTGTTTGGTGTATGTTTTGATTGAATTAAAAGTGAGACGTGTCGGTACATAATTGAAGTCAAGGAGTTCACTAAAGATATTTCACAAAACCGTGATCATTTTAATTAGAAAACAAGATTTACACATATACGCTACAAAATGGCAGGTTGCTAATCTAAATGTCACACAGGTTAAAGTGGATGAGGCGATCACTCTATTTAGCTCCAAATGGTGAAAAGGTATCGTACATGAAGTAGTGTATGCTTACTCTTTCTGGGGCATTTCTTGTTAGCCTTTCAATATTGAAACGAAAGCCACATTACACAATTTATTACACGATATTATCTTATCAATCTGATACATAGATCCTATTTCGTTTCGTTTTTTATAGTTCAGAATTTCGTTTTACTTGTCTTCACAACACTAGGATCTAGAAGAGTTGTTATATAACCCGCGTTCTGGTTGACGTGCGGTGCGCGAAACTGTGGGTAAACCACTAGAAACATCAACGTTGATTGATTAATCAATGTCTGACGTCATAGGGTCAAAAGCCGCTCGTGTGACCCTAGACGCGAAATTCCACTACAATCACTACAGTAGGCCATCAAAAGTATAAAAAAAAACGAAACGAAATATAAATCTGTATTTTAATCAGATTGTTATCTTATCTGTATCTTGAAATTATGCGTATAATTACCATCAATTATTATTTTTCTCTCTATGATTCACGCAGTACCAGTATCCAAGATTTTATTAGCAACGACCGGTACGGGTTTTAAGTCATTTTGGGGAAAAAAGGTGAAGGTTAAAGTAACTTTCGATTTATTTTGCCATTATATATAGAACTACCAAGCTGCTGGTGAGAGAAAAAGTCAAATTAAAGTCTATCTCAGATTTCAATTAAAACAAATACAACATGTAATATAGACAGAATGCGTAAGGTGTGGAGAGGGTGGTATTTTTATGTGATCAATTCATTCAAAATAATAAGGCCTCAGTGTCACTAAGAAAACAAACTATTTCTAAACATACTGTCTACTCTGTGTTGACTGAACGGGTGTTGTTTTGTATGACTAAAGATTATGTACTAGCATTTTCATTTGACCCCATATTCATGACCTCTGACTACAATAGACGACAATCAGCTTGAATATGGATTAAGGAGTGTAGTTACATATACAAAGGATTTTCATGTAAAAAACGGAAACCACTTGTGTTGAATAGGTCCAGGTCATATTTAGAGTAAATACTAAAAAAAAAATGAAAATTTTATAATCTTCACAAAACATGCCATGCTTCTGTCTTTGTCCGAGATCCAAATGGGAAAAAGGTAAGGTTTATACTGCAATGTGCGCATGCCCTTCCCCTATCCTTGGATGGTTATAGTCACCGAGTGATGGGTATGCTGTGTGGGCAAAGACTAGTCGACTATAAAGCAATGTTGCACCCTTTCAATCATTGCCCGCGACAGCGGTCCGTTTCACAAAAACTTATATCTCCCAAATATAAAATTTAGATAGATGATTTTCACAAAACGATTTTAAGCATTTGAGATAAAATCCACTGAAATAATATTTTAAGTTAAAATGTTATCTTAACTTAAAGGAGCTAAGTCGCTAATATTTGGGACCTAGAAATTGACACAAATGGGTCGCAACGCATACAATAATGTAATATGAATGTATATAAATTGATTTATATTCAATCGTTTCTGTTTTTACTGTAATTTCTAATCAGTTAGGTTCGGCGAAATACGCCAGTATTCTCAATCGAATGTCAATCTCTAGCGTCTGGTTATTCCAGTCTACGCCAATAGTATTTATTGGGCATGCTCTCCAGATAAGAATATAGCGTCACCGTTTGACATAACTTGTGGAATATGTCTAGCCTCGTTTTTTGAGTCCCTTATTACAAATAGCGCTGAAACGCATTATGGTACACGATTATTGTACCAATTGTAAAATGTTTATTTTGTTTATTGGATATCAGAAGGCCATCTTTTCCCAGTAAGATCACAACATCAAATAAATCGTGTTTTCAATGTCGAAGATTTTGGATGATATTGAGTTAGAGATTTGGCTACTTTAAAGCAGTGGTGTTTCACAAAACTATTTTAAGGTCAATTTTAACTAAAATCAATTTTAACTTAGGATAGCCGTCACCCTCACCTATTTTAAAATCACGACATAAACAAACAGTAAAACATTGATTAGGACTAAGTTCCTACATATAGATCTGTCCGTCCGACTCGAAAACTTCTGAAAAATACATGGTTTCTAGCGCCATTTTGGCGTATATTTGGGAGGAGGTCACTTTGCTAAAACACAGAAACTGAAATTTAACACAACAACATATGACATACCAAATACATGTACTACGTTTTAGTTTTACTGATGTAAAAATACTCACATATAGGCCTACACAATATTGACAGGAAATTTTAAGCAAGCAAACAAATGGAAAAACAAAAACCGTGACCATCAGACGCCAAAACTATCACATAAACTATTCGTTTATTCATGTGTACTGGATACCCTGGCGGTGACAAGAGCCTAAAGCGGAACGAGGACGGGCCAGTTCCCCACGGCCCGAAGACCTGGGCAGGTGGCTTATAGTTTTTAATTCATTCTATCCACGCAGCTAGGTACCCACATCCAGAAAAGTCACCGGTTTACTTCTACTGTACGATTAAATAACAGTGTATTATTTTTTAAAAAACATTACTCGGCATACGTCCAGGCCCCTTTAGGTTCATGGCCCCTGGACAAGTGTCCCAGCTGTCCCCCTCACCCTTAATGAAAACAGTAAAATCAGCGATTGATGAGGTTGTACGCTTTTGGCTTGCTGGCTCAGATTGGTAAATAGCCCACATACCACCCAAATATGCGTATTCTTTTAAAGGGCTAATCCCGATAATACTCGTATTTTGGAGATTAAAACTGGTTAATGTTGTGTTAAAATCCTCTAAAGAAACGGGAATCGATTATCAGATCAACCAACGAAATCTTAAAAGGGTTACGTGTCCGGATAAGCAGTTTTGACGTTCACGTCCAAACGACTCAATATTTTGAGCTAAAATTTTGAGACAAGGTAATTACACCACTCCTCTATACTCTGACGCTTAAATTTCATACGTACTCAGACTTTTATTTTTGAGATTCTGTTCAAATCGGGATAGTCCCTTTAAGCCAATGTTTTTTTTATGTTTTTATCAGATAGTAAAGAATGCTACGTGTGTAGAAGTCATGCAGACGGTCAGTATTATCCACATTGTCCCATGGAGGGTAATGTTAATCCACAGATAACATGGAAAGAAAATTGTACTGGACATTGTTTTACGAGAACGGATGATCTTGATAAAGAACGTAAGTTGTAATTATCAAAGTTTGATATTCAATATATCGTTTGATTTGTTTGCCAATAAACTAATGCCGTTTTTACTGACATGAAATCTTGCAGAGTTAAGATTCCCCAGCAGTGCTTCATTAAGAACCAAGTTCATGATGTTGTCTGGGAGCCGCGGTGGCTGAGTGAGTAAGGCGCTAACTCGCGAACCTTGGGGTCCCGGGTTTGATCCCTGTGTTGCCGAGAAAGTTCCTAGGGATTTTCCAATATGTTTTTCCCAGTCAGTGGTGCAGGACGAAGGACATGACAAGGAACAGCGTCTAGTCCCGTGTATAACATGGGCGTGTAAGTAAAGGAAACCCTTGAATTACTCTCTGAGCCCAATTTTCCTCATAGCACATTACATGGTCTGTCTTTATCATCCAGTTGGAGCAGATAGGTCGAACGTCACATTTCATTCTTTCATTCATAATGCTGTCTAAAGGAAAGCTTTAAAAGTAATTATGTAAGGACTGCATGCATATCGTGGGAGTGTGATATTTTGTTCCTATTATGCAAAATGGTTCTAAAACGATCAACTTCGATAATGTATAATCCTTGAGTGGCATTTAGCGATTGAGCACATTAAAGAACAAAACAGAATTTATATGGAAAATAATCACTGGTTTATAACAATATAGCACAATGTTTCGACAAGTAGTCTCTTGTCGTTTTCAAGTACAAATGATTGCGTTATCCATATAAATTGTGTTGTGTTCTTTCGATAATGTATTTTGTATATTTCTAGTGGTGTACAGAGGCTGTGTAGACTCACAATGGGGATTACCCGACCCCCTTCCCCCTGATGGATGTTATACATATTATTTGGAAGTTTGGTGTGTCTGTGGTACTAACCTGTGTAACGGTGTAGCTTTAGGTAAGCTTTGAATATTTGGAGAGTCTGAAAGCCATAGCAACTATCAACAGATGTTGGTCGTCTGCCTTGTGATATTGGTATCTGTCACTCTGCTATATAAACCTACATTTCAAGTTTAGTCAAAATCGGATAAAACTTGTGACCTCGGGGGGGGGGGGGGGTCTACAACCTTGGTTTTACATACTTTTACAGAGGGGCGGTCATTTTGTCGGGAAGTTTAGATCACGAAATTCGAACTCAGCCGTCATTATGGTTTAAGTGTGTTTTTAAAAGCAAATAAGATTTTGACGCCTAGAGGGTCCAGAAGCTAAAAACGCGATTTTTCTTACAATAAGGGGAAATAATCCAGGAAGTTACGGTCCGATATGCACCAATATCGAAAGGAACCGAGATCTTTAGGTTACAGACATACATTTTAAGTTTTATCAAAATTGGATGAAAAGTGTGACCTCTAGAGTGTCGTGATCTTTCGTACAATCAGTGGAGGGGGGGGGGTATAAACCATGTCCGATACATGTCAATATCAAAAGGAACCGAAATCTTTGGATAAACCTATATTTCAAGATTCGTCCAAACCGAATATAGACTGTGACCTGCAAAGTGTCCACAAACAAAATATTAACGGGTGGATCGATAATATACGTCCACATAAAAATGTGGGCGTATAAAAATAGTTTTGCGATTCTTGAAAATAACATATTCGCCTTTTCTTTGAATAGGTAAACCAAAGGATGTTGAATTTGATGCACATATTCCAAAGAAAAAGAAGGAAGTAACAGACGGCAGTTCATCACAATTTGTTGGGATTGTTTTTGTTTCGATAATAAGCCTTGCAGCGATTCTCACCATAAATTGTTGACATTCACTTTCCAATCTCGATATTGGCACAGTGTTGATATTTTAGTTATATTTGAAGATCAGTGTGCTTTCATTCCAGGATATTTTGTGATCTCATTTTTTAATGGGGAGATACATTTTGGGCAATTTTATTTGTGCTTTTGTTTAATTATTGTCATTCCAATATGGTTTTTTTTGTTGTTGTAAGCTAAATTATGAATGATTCGACAATGCCTCAGGCATAATGCCCAAGCATTAATGTCCAAATAGAGATATTTTCTAGGTCATTTTTAATGCAGAAATATACTACTGTCACCTGTGCCCGCTGGTCTCTTCACATTTCTTATGGACACATTTCAGTGGATTATTTGTGCGTCGTTAGTGATTGCTCATGGGACATGGAAATCAGTTAATCTCGTTAAAATATAACTTAATCTTCCCATGTGTATTTGACTCTACACATAAAAAAGGCTTGAAACATATCGTGGAATTATGCATTAGATTGTATCGAAATTCCGAATTTGTACATCTAGTCAGTTGAAAATTTAATTGTTTCTCTCCTTTTTTCCGTTCTTATTATTTAATGCCTGTGAATTTTCCAGTATTGAGGTAGACACGGGGGAGGTGGATATGAGCTGGGAGCGGTCTAATGTGTGCGCTTTAGATCAAAAGATCTGTCATTGTTATTTCGACCAAAGGCGTGTAGGTGGCGTGTGCGTGGGTTCAACAGCTTAATCCCTTTCTCCTAGTTTCCGCAACTACCAAAGATCTTTTTGTGGCAAATTATTTACTAAAGATGTACCGTATTTTAATTCTGAATTGACTGCATTTGTATTGAGTTGAGCCCACTATATCACAATCATCAAATTAGTGCCTGTTTACGTCCTGATCATTCCGCCTCAAAAATCCCAACTATTCACCAAAACCTGACAGAAAATGTAATTTTAAAAACTCTTTTTTTTATTCTAGACCAAAAAGTAAACACAAAATGAAATGCAAAGGGAGTGGGTGGGGAGAGAAATGGAGAATTGCTAAAAATAAACGTACTACACTAGTCTCAGTCCATAATTATGTACATCACTCGATTAGCCCCCCCTTTACACAGTCGGCTGCTGCTGAACTGACCCAGTTTGGTGACTCGAAAAAGCAAACAAATCGTGAAACCACATTTGGTGTAAGGTTTTATCATGGGACCCAACTAGCTCTGCGAATGTTGTCAAATCCATCTAAAGTTGTTGTTGATAGCACTCTATCGTCTGTGTAATTTAACGGTTCGTATGTCAGCTTCACGGTTGAGTTATTAACATATTGAAAAGAGGTCTAGCCTGTACCCCTTTACAAAAACGGGACATTCAAGTGTATAACGACATATATCTCCGTTACTAGGTCAAAAACAGAGTAGCCAACATTTTAGCCGTTATTATCACACACGAAGTTTGAACAAGTAAGCATTTATCTACTACATACTTACTAAACGGGTTAAGTGTCAGAATATCTTAACTACACTAAAAACTATCGATAGGCCTAATGTAGTACGTATACAATACAGCGGTATTTGAGCTCTTTTGCTGTGTCACATGTTACTCTGACATTATAAACAAAGGTTGTACAAAGTACATATTTAGATGCATTGCGGAATCTTTTAAGAAGACCTGCATAACGCGGTTTATTATAGTGTTTGAAATGGGCCTTGTCATATTTCACCCTGTTCATAACCAAAGAAAATTAAGGTAGCAAGCCTATAATTTAAACGGGACATGTCATAAAAATGCCCCGTCTGGGATATCATCTTTGGAGGACGCGGACGTTAATTCCAAGGAATGAAACGAAATTGGGTGTAACGAGGTAAATTTTGCCCATTCAGTGGCGCTACGGCCTACTCTTATATAATATAGGCAACACTCGTTGACTTGGTTTAGGTCCCATCCGAACTATTATACCCTTTTCTGTCCTAGACCATTGACAAGAGGGCGGGACCACGCCAGGAAAATCCAGATATAGTTTCTCAGCCAACACTGGGATCGAACATTGGACCTCCAGGTTGGTTTACCAACGTCTTACCCACTAAATCACCGCGGCTGCCTCACGAATGAACGACCTATCGCCGACATGTCTAAAAGTTTAGTGCTAAAGCAGAAATTATATTGGATTGAATTGTAATTACATGTATATTGTATTTCAATAACTTATTTATTATTATTATTACATCTTATGCTACAAACTTTTCGCATGACAAAATCAGTGAAGCTCGGGGAGCATACGATTCATTCATTTAACTAATTTGTCGGTGAAGGGTGCGGGGCTAAATATTGGATTCATCCCAATCACCGCCACCCTCGTAAACCCACACGAAATATAACAGATTCTACACAGGCAAAATACACCACAGATGACAACAATTTAGTGTGTATATTAAAGAACTTTCAAATATGACAGAAATATGGAAATATATGGAAGCCTATTGCGGCCATTTCATAATCTCGACTTCTCGCCGCGAGGGGGACCACGCATAAAAAAAGCCGATGAACGTTGATGAAGTTAAAGAGCAAAGAAAGATTCGACTGAAGACCTAAATTCGAGTACAGAATACAATACTATCTGTGCAAGAAGAGATTAAAATTGGTTAGGACTATTAAACTTTCTTGAACCCCAAACATTCCGTCTATTTGAATCCATGTCCAAATATAAATGGCGATACGGTAGTCAATGGACATGTGCATACATTGCACTTTCGAGGAGAGAACGCGAGGGAGCCAGAAGTCGAGATTATGACGAAGCGATCGTGCGAGAACGCGAGAAATACTCAAAGGCGGGAACGCGGGGGAGCGAGAAATTGAGAATTTTCAAAGGCGAGAATGCGAGGGAGCGAGAAGTCGATGGCGAGAAGTCGAGGGTGAGATGTAGAGATTATGAAATGGCCGCAATAGGCTTCCATAGAAATATCTGGACATAAGTAAAAGCTCTATGGAAGCGTATTTGGGTCACTACTTATTGAGATAATATCGCAACACATCGAACTAAAATATGTCAACTTCATGAGTTATATTACAAAAAATCGACTTAATAAGTCGACTCGACGCATCAAATTCACCTCTAAACGACAAAAACTATGTCGATATGTTTACATCATGCCAATAGTCGATTTGACTCTAAATCAACAAGTCATATTTTAATGCAATATATAGACTTAATAACGTCGCCGTTTTCAGTTATGTACCACGTGCTTAATTTCATTGCTCGAGATTGCTTATTCATGAAAGTGCAGCCAATGATGGGGTTTAACGTCCACTCGACACAAACTAGGTCAATTCGGGACTAACATATGGTTTAATTTTAGGGGTCTTTAGCAGTGTTAGGAAACCGGAGGACCCGAAGAAAACCCACTAGGTTGGACAGGCAACCCTACTCCTTGTCACGTACAACCGGTGATTCGAAACCACGCCAGTTGACTCAATGACAGGCCTTATGATACAGTCCGCACGTGCTAACCATTAGCGAGTATTTATGTTTGCTCCTGATGCATCAACACGTACAATTTTACTTGATATCAGTACTAACAAACATTGCGGTTTTATTAGGTGGTCATTCCCGTTAAGCGGTCAGACATGCAAACCCCCTTGAGTCTACTGTACTCAGGAGAAATTTGATTGGACGATTACAATAGACACACTTCGTCAAAACCCCAAGATTTTGCTATCAGTACATTGCTTTAGGAATATGGTAAAAGTCACAACATTGTTAACTCTATTGTTCGTCCAAATAGTATTTAGTCTTGACAGTTCACAAGGTTCAGACTAGTCGTATTGACAAGGACAAAGCCGATACTAAAAATAGCACAAACATGTCCATATTGAACTGCAATGTTCTATCCAAAAACATGATAATCCAAAATTTCTCCTAAAAATCTCCCCGCGTTTTCACACAGTAATCACGTAGTTCTTAGTTACACTATACACAAGTTTCAAATATCACATTTGAAGAAATCAGAGCAAAATAACCCAGTTGTAGCCACACATGGCAAAAAAACTCTTTTGATGCTTGGAACAGTAATAAGTCTTTTAGGATTATATACAAATTACCACCCTCAAAGAAAACAAATAACAAACAATTTTTTTCACCGATGAATTTTCAGCTATGGTAGATATAATTGACAAGAAAGGGGAGAATTCTACAATTATTGTCGGAGATTTTAATATCCATTATGGGTGGTAGTGGTGGGGGGGATGGCCGAATGGTTAGCACGTGCGCACTGTATCATAAGGCCTGTCACTGAGTCAACTGACGTGGTTTCGAATCCCCGGTTGTACGTGACAAGGAGTAGGGTTGCCTGTCCAACCTAGTGGGTTTTCTCCGGGTCCTCCTGTTTCCTCCCACTGCTAAAGACCCCTAAAATTAAACCATATGTTAGTCCCGAATTGACCTAGTTTGTGTCGAGTGGACGTTAAACCCCATCATTGGCTGCACTTTCATGAATAAGCAATCTCGGGCAATGAAATTAAGCACGTGGTACATAACTGAAAACGGCGACATTATTAAGTCTATATATTGCATTAAAATATGACTTGTTGATTTAGAGTCAAATCGACTATTGGCATGATGTAAACATATCGACATAGTTTTTGTCGTTTAGAGGTGAATTTAATGCGTCGAGTCGACTTATTAAGTCGATTTTTTGTAATATAACTCATGAAGTTGACATATTTTAGTTCGATGTGTTGCGATATTATCTCAATAAGTAGTGACCCAAATATGCTTCCATAAAGCTCTGTTCAGTTAGTTTGTATATAACTTTGAACGTGTTTTTTTTTCAGCTTATTCTCGATTAAAGTGTATATGAACATGAAATGTTTACAGCTGAGTACAATAATTCTACCAGTTATCATAGCTCTTATGGTATACTTCCTGTATACACCACTTCCTCCAGATCTAAAACAGAAATGGGCAATACAAAAACAGTTTGCTATGACTAAGATAGGTTCTGTAATCGTAAGTCTCCTTCATTTGCTTAATGACATAGGCTTTAACATCCTATTGTTCTGCTCCGACTGGGCTACGTTATACAATGTGCTATGAGGAGAATTTTGATCAGGGAGCGGCACTACTTCCTACTTTTATTTACAGTTGGTTCAACCGGTCCACCTTTGCAACGAGATAGACTAGTCTAACGATCACCGACGTTTTAATACTCTAGCATCTCAACGGCTATAGATTGGTACTTTGATATTCCATTTTATTTCTTTTGTAGATATGTATGGCAGAACATTTAGATTATGGTAGCTACATCAACATATCCAGAGCCGTATTTGATACAGTAGCCAGTGGGGCTTTAAATCAGGAAAACGTCACGGTAAGAGTTCACTTAAAAGATGCACTAAAGATACATTATGGGAGATAAGATAAAGAGATGACAGTTCTCGCTATAATAGTTAAAAACTAGATAGTGTAAAGGTAATTTGCTGGAAATTTCAGTCAAATTGATCCACTATGAGCCATCATTACTAAAATCATTAATATAAACAGCATAGTCTCGATTATCCACGTTTTCTGATTTAATTATCAACGTCCGTTAGCGGCATATAGGAATCTAATCCAGCCAACATCGAAGGCTAGCCTTGACATCGAGAGTTTATTATGGTCTGGATAAGTTAATTAATGTCTAATTGATAATTTAGATAACATTTCAGGCCTAAAGAAAGACTTGTAATAAGCAGATTTTGCTCTTGCATAATGCATGTTTAAGTAAGATTTATATAAAGCGTTAATTATCAGTGAGATGAAGAATCCCATTTAATTTCAATAAATTTAGTCAATTTCTTCTGAAGTTATGACTCTTGTTTCACTTTGCGGAACCTCGTGATTTTTCTAACGACAATCTGTATGAAATTTAGATGCATCATTTAAAATACTGAAACGAAGAAGCCTATTGAATTTCAACAATATATGTTAATTACATCTAGAGTTATGGCCCTTGTTTAACTTTGTTGAACCTTGTGAACGCTCTAACGATAATAGTTATCAAACGATCTGTATGAAATTTATATACATCATCTGGAATTAGTGAAACGAGGACGCCTATTGAATTTCAACGATTTCCGTTTAGTACTTCTAAAGTTATGATCCAATCTGAATGCAATTCATGTGCATCACTTAAATTAGTAAAATGAAAAAGCATATTGAATTTCTGCAATTTCCGTTGATTATATCTGGAGTTATGGCCCTTGTGTCAATTTGTCGAACCTTATCAATGATCGTTTAATTAAATAATTAATCGCCAACCGCATCTAAATCCGTTGAAAAGCTAGAGCATCGAGTTGATTATGGTCTTGGAAAGTTAATAAATGTCTAATTAATAATTTATATAACATAAAGAAAGGCCTGCAATGGGCAGATTTAGCTCTGACATGGTGCATATTTAAAGGGACAAGAAGCGCATCGACAATGGTTTAACCCTCTCTAACAATTGCTAATTTGAGTCAAAGTGACCGCAGGTATGATTTAATGCTAACATCAACAACCTTGCAGAATAAAGGACATTGGTTCCGTGACGAGGGGTTTCGCGAGCGGTGTATGTTTTAAAATCTTTTTTTTTTTTAAAAAAACGGAACTGTTGATTGGGTATAATATGGTCTGCATTAAACAGTCTTGATCGCAATTAACATTACTAGAGTCGACTCTCATCCAAAACGGCTAACGATTTTTCCGATCAAATTGTTAAGCTTTTCGGTTTTCAGACATACGTCGTATAAAGCTCTGTACTGTGTTTAAATTATTTATTGGGTCATTATTTCAGATGACCGACGCCATGTTTGGTAAAGTTCCGGTGACGATATTTAGACCTAGGACAGCTAATGATCTGTCTCCAGCGTTACTTTATTTCCATGGTGGAGGCTGGGTGTTTGCTTCTACAGGTTTGTACCAATTCATGAAAAAATATGAACGGTATAAAATTTCTTTAAAATTCCCTTTTGTTAATTCCCTGTTATTTCAACAGTATTGAAGAATAAAGATTTGTAAAGTTTAAAACAAAATTGTGGGCTGGATTATCTTTTGACATTATCATTAAAGATAGTGGATAGAAATAAAATATATTTGAAAGCTTTGTAGACGCACACAGTTGTAGGACGGAGGACCTGAGAAGGGACAACGTATAGTCGTTCGGATGGGACTAAAAATCGAGGTCCCATGTACACATTTGCATGCACATAAAAAAACCTTAACAGTTGGAATTTGAAATAAGAGTAGGCCGTAGCGCCGCTGTCCGGGCAAAATTTCCCTCATAGCACATTGCATGGCGTATGCCCGTCTTCATTAGCCCAATAGCAGCAGAACGGTAAGACGTTAAACCCCATTTCATTTTGACCGATTTCAATAATTCTCTGGCATATATTTTTGATGTAAGAATTCCATTGTGAAAGCACTTGATCTATACACTGAACTTTATTCCAGATTGTTGTCAATTTAAAAGATTTTGGCTTTGTACTCTTATTATAGATGTTTTGTTTTTGACAGAGACATGGCTAAAAGCCGAAGGTGACGACTCCAGAATATCTGAACTTACACCTACCGGATATTCCTTTATTAATGCACATAGATCAACTGGTACCGGTGGTGGTATCGGAGTTCTATTTCAATCTTCTCTTTGCCTTGAAAGACTACCTAATTACCAAACTTTTAAAACTTTCGAAAGCCTTAACCTAAAAATCAGCTCTTACAACACATGCGTTCATGCGATTTGTTTGTATCGCCCACCCTCATCTAGTAAAAACAGATACAAAATATCTGACTTTGAAGAAGAATTATCTGTTCTTTTATCAACAACATCAAAAACCAATTCTGTTATTTTAGGTGACTTTAATATTCACTATGACAAACCAGATTGCGCTAGCAGTAGGAGGGTAGTCAAGATTTTAGCCTCGCACAACTATAGTCAACACATTCAGCATACCACACACAAATCGGGTCACATTCTTGACTGGATTCTGACCCCAGAGCCATGTACTCTCATTCAAAGTGCATCAGTTACTGATATTCAAATATCAGATCACTATCTCGTTTCAACCCTATGGAATTTTGAAAAACCGAAGTTGCAGCCAGTTACCATTTCGTTTAGGAAGATTAAATCATTAGACAGGGAAGCTTTCAGCAACGACCTGAAGTCTTCAGATCTCCTATCAAATACACCTATAGAGCTTAACGAACTGTGCGGTAAATTTAATAGCACTTTACTTGCCCTACTTGATAAGCATGCCCCTATTGTGACTAAGAAGGTATATCTCCGGCCTGGCAGGTCTTGGTACAATAAAGATGTTCTCATAGCAAAAGAAGATCGTCGTAAAGCGGAACGAAAATATCGCCATTCTCTGCTAGAAGTCCATCGTCAAATCTACCGAAAAGCAAGAGGTGCATACTCAAAGACAATCAAAGATGCAAAATCCGCATACTGCGTTCAAAAGCTAACGGATGAATTTAAGTCTCCCAATCAGTGTCATAATTTTATGAAATCACTACTTGGTACTACAACTGAGATAATTCTACCAAAATCTGACGATGATGACAATCTTGCAAACTCTTTCTGTCAATTCTTTTCATCCAAAATAAATCAAATACGTGAACAATTAGATCACTCCAGTGAAAATGAAGAAGCTGAAGGCATTACACCTTTTTCAGCCACATGTGGAGATTATCTAACATATTTTGAGTCATTCTCTAACGATGAAATTGAAAAACTTATCAAATCATCTAAGAAGACAACTTGTCTACTCGATCCTCTTCCAACAAATATCCTTGTTGAATATCTTGATCTGCTTCTTCCAGTCATTACTCAGATTGTGAACACAAGTCTTAGTACAGGAGTATTTCCTTTAATATATAAAGATGCCGTTGTAAGACCCCTTATTAAGAAAACTTCTCTTGACCGGAATGTGCTTAAGAATTACAGACCCGTCTCAAATTTGTCATTCCTCTCCAAAATCATTGAAAAGGCAATAAACAATCGACTACAGTCCTTCGTAGTTTCTCGAAATCTTTTAGACAAATTTCAATCTGCTTACAGACCACGTCATAGCACTGAGACAACTATCCTTTGTGTGCTAAATGATCTGCTGCGCTCCGTAGATAGTGGTAAACTTGTGTCCTTGACCCTGTTAGATTTGTCTGCCGCATTCGATACTGTCGATCATGAAATTCTCTTAAGAAGACTTTATCAAACTTTTCACATAACTGGTACGGCCTTACAATGGATTAAATCTTATCTTACTGACAGAAGACAGAAGATCATTATAAACAAATCTCATTCCGAGTTTGCAAACCTTAATTGTGGAGTGCCTCAAGGATCTGTTCTTGGACCGGTATTGTTTATACTGTACACACGATGTCTGGGGGATGTTATAGACCAGTTTGATATAAGCCATTTCTCCTACGCTGATGATACACAGTTAATCAGTAAGTTTAAACAAGACAATGCTCATGATTCCTTTGAAAATACCACTCGCTGCTCCAAAGCTGTTAAATCCTGGATGAATAATAATAAATTGAAGTTAAACGATGAAAAAACAGAAGCAATACTTGTTGGAACACCACAGCGTCTCGCATCAACTCCTGATTCTCGTCTTGTAATTTGCGACTCTAGTATTGAATTTGCAACAAGGGTTAAAAATCTAGGTGTTATATTTGATCCGTCTTTAACAATGGAAAAACAGGTTGATCAGTTATGCCGTGTTTGTAATTTTCATCTCCGTAGTATAGGAAACATTCGTCATCTATTGACTACTGCTGCTTGTCATCTTTTGGTGCGGTCTCTAATTTTTTCAAGATTGGACTATTGTAATAGTGCCTTGGCTGGAATATCTCAACATTTATTAAAGCGACTTCAAATAATTCAGAACAACTGTGCCAGAATCATCACAAGAACAGCAAAACGTCAACATATAACATCTGTCCTTAAATCGCTTCACTGGTTACCAATAGAGGCTCGTATAAACTTTAAAATCTTAACACTGGTCTACAAGTCTCAGCATGATTCAGCTCCATCCTATATCACAGATCTTATGCAGCCTTATGTACCAAACCGACCACTCCGTTCACAGAATAATCTATCACTTGTTGTACCTTCAACTAAATTAAAATCTTTTGGTGATAAAGCCTTCAGTGTATATGGTCCACGACTATGGAATGACTTACCTGACAAAATAAAGTGTTCAGAAACAGTTGCTCAATTTCGATCTAGACTTAAGACGCATATGTTCACGATGTATTATCCACAGAAGCCATTAACTTACAGCGCTTAGAGCATGCTCATGGATGGATTAAGCGCTATATAAATGTACATTATTATTATTATTATTATTATTTTATGTAATTTTGTTTCAGCTGTGTTGGCAGGTGGTATAGCTGATATAGCAGAATGGTTGAATGTTGTAGTAGTATCTGTGGAGTAAGTTGGCCGAATTAGAATTTGATGTTGAAAATATGAATACAATTCAGTTGGGGTGCATTAGTCATGTCACTATGATATTGGTATAATACTCACAGAGAACGGTTCATTAAATATATGACTATATTCTTAAGGAATTCCGCAAAATGTTGCGATTAAATATATCTGCAATGTTAACCGATAATAGCAGTCTCAACTTTTCTATTTCGGTTCCGAATTGTTACGGATAATGCCTGCTGGGTCGATTGCTCCGTTATTCCAAAACAGGGTTAGAAGATGGCAGTGCCAATTCTTACACTCCACAAGAAATGTTTTGTTTACATGACCTTACAATCCACTTTATGGCTCCGTTTTCTTTGTACATGAAGGGATGGGGGAAACCTTGCTGATTTCCAGTTATTATGAGAAGATATGAATTACATGTAGTTCGAAAGCAGCAAATTTGATTTCCACATTTTTGGTTGCTGAAAACGTTCCATATAGCTTCCCAGTCCAGTAGAAAGTATACGTATGAATTAATTTTTGGGTATTTTGCATCTAATATTTCAGTTATAGGTTAGCACCAGAAAATCCCTTTCCCGCACCATTTGATGATTGTGTAACAGCTTCTGTACATCTTTTACATAATGGACATAGACTAGGTATAGATGTTAATCATATAGGAGTAACAGGTGGGTGTCACAAGACCTATATACATCAAATTAACGTTATTAACAAGTCAAAAATTAATAAATAAAAAAATATTCAAGGATGTTCGTAATTTTCGATTTGGCGTGATTTGATTATACCTTTGCATGTCGTATATATTTACTTTAAATTGTAGACAAATTTGAGTAAAATTTGCCAATCCATCGGCGAGATCAGGTGTATAAATTTTCAACTTATGGGTCGTTAAGCGTTTAACGAATGTCCATACAAAAAGGCTCTTTTAAGTCGTCCTGTGTATCAAATTATGATCAAAGCCTACTCACGAGTTTAAATTATTTAGGTATGTCTCTCTTCATTGACACATTTACAACGAAAGGTTTCCGAGAAACAATGTAATCCCATATAATCTATTTTATATTCTCAAATCTGTGTCAGAATTGTTTTGCTTTCCACGGTTCATGTAAATTATTTGCTTAAAAGGTCATTTATTCATGAAATTGCATGTCAAGATATTTGTGTAAAATCACTAAAATTCTAATATTTTCAGGAGATAGTGTGGGTGGAAATTTGGCCGCAGCCGTGGCTCTGAGACTGTCAGAAGACACCACTCTACCTAAATTAAAATGCCAAATCCTTATATATCCCGTACTACAAGCCTTTGATACGAAACTCACGTCGTACATGGAAAATAGTTACGAATCCTTACACAGGGAAAGTATAGGGAAGGCGTATTTATGGTATCTTGGTAGAGATGTGTTAAAGACAAGTGAACAAGCGATCCTTTCCAACAACCATCTTACACCGGCACTGAAAAAATCAGTTTATTATAAAAGCCTTGTTCATCAAAACTTATTACCTATGAAATATCGTAGAAAGGATACCCCAGATGAAACAGATAAGATAAATATGACTTTTGCTAAGTCACTGGAAACGTTACTTATTAATCCATATATTTTCCCGCTCATGGCTAAAGATCTTTCAAAAATGCCGCCATCTTTGATAATTACGTCAGAATATGATATATTAAGAGATGAAGGTTTTATGTTTGCCGAGAGATTGAGACAGTGCGGTGTCAAAGTTCAGCATAACAACATGAACGCTGTTCATGGTTTTTTCTTTCGACCCCCAAGAGAAACATTCCGATATGACTCAATGCTAGATACGTTGAATATAATGGCTAAATATTTTAAACAGCAACTCAAATAGTACAATGCTTATTATATTTTAAATAATAAATACTTAACAAAGATGTCATGTGGTATAAATTGTTAATATAATTGCATAAACCTTCCAATTGATATGCATCTCACCCTGCTTGATGACAAAGTCAAACTAATCCCCCAATTGAAGAGATTTCATGACCGTCATATGCTCAGTTGGCATTCGCCGGCCAGTGGCGTCGTGCCCATTAGGTCCCGGGGGGCTTGGACCCCCCCCCCCCCCAAATTCTCAGTGAAATAAAAAAATATTTTTATTGATATTATTAAGACAGAAGACCTGTCCGTCTGTTTTAGTCATCACATGGTCTCCAGGAATTGTATAATTTGTCATTATCCGTGTTTAGTTTATTGCACTTTAGTTTAGATATCATTTGTTAAGGCCTCGCCATAGAGCTATATTTCTATATAACTCGCTTCGTACACTCTATCATTTAGCCTCGATCTAAAATTTCCGGGAGTATGACGTCAACTTAACGGTTAATCTCCGCTCACGTCGCCTTTTAAAAATTTAATCAATCAATAAAATAATGTTTAAATCCAAGCCGAATCCAAGCCATCCGGGGGTTTACGTACAGAGTTGATTTTGTGCTTGTTGTTTAAATCCCTATTTATGATTGTATGTTGTACTTGATAAAATATCCATATACGGGTGTCAAAAATAAAGACTGAAAGTATTTTTTATTAAAATACAAATACATCTAAATACATATTTGACCATGCATGAAGTTGTTCGAAATGTCCATTCAATAATTAAATCGAAGTTGAGATGAATAAAATATAATTCAGTTTTCGAGTGATAAATTACAATTATCACTAAAAAAACGACCATTTTTCAATCATAACTTTATTGTCTCTAATCCATCGAAATGGCGTTTCCCGGCTTCTAATTTTAAAAATTTTCCGGGGAAGCCCCCCCCCCCCCGTAACCCCCTTGCATGCTCATGCCTACTGCATTCGATAGAGAGAGGCTGAGAGAAAAAAGAGATGGAGTGTCAAAAAGTCGAGACAGGGAATAAAAAAGACAAGAAGAGATTGAGACAGGGCGGACGTCAAGCAGACAAGCGACAAAGACATCGTGTCGTGTATATGTCATCACTTTCTACTTCAGTCAGCTATATATGATTAAGGATAACTCGTGTTTCCTTTTTTGCGTCACTTCCCATCTACCGTAGAAAATATAGGAGTAGCAGGTGGGTGTCACAAGAACTATATATACTCTTCAAAAAAAAAAAAAAGAAACGCACAGCCCATTTTTCATCATTTTTTATTTGAACGGGATCGTTGTTTCCATAAATCTTACTTGTTTTTAATGTCATGTAAGGATAAAAGAAATTCATTATTGGTTTTAAATGTCACTAATTGGTCGAAATTTGTTTTCGCTTGATTGCACCAAGACACATGAGTTTAACAACTGCGCAAGCTTTTCGCATGAAACCCAAATCTAAGGCCTTTAAAATCCCGGGGTTCCCGGTTTCAAAATCAGTTGCACATGTAAACACTCAACGAGCCAAGTGATGCCACATTTGAACGAAGACCAACGCAGGTTGGTTTAAAGCAGGTGAATACCAGACAGATGTAGCCAGGCTGCTGAATGTTTCCCAGAGTACCATTTCTCGCCTTTGGGATAGGTACCGACAGCGAAGATCAACACTTGACCGCCCAAGCTCAGGCCAAACAAGTGTGGCCCACTTGCCATGGATCGTCACATCCGGTTATTATTTGCGGAAACGGTTCACAACAGCGACCTATACAGCAGCAGCAATTCCAGGACGGCGTAGGGTCCCAGACCATTAAACCGTATTAAACCGTATTACGAGTTAGACGTACCGTTAGAGCTGTTGTTTTTAAATAGACCGACACCGTCAAATCCGACTTCAATGGGTTCAGACACACAGGGTATAGCCACGGCAACACTGGAGAACAGTTTGTTTTAGCGACGAGTCGCGGTTCCTGTTGCAACGAGGCGATTGTAAGGCAAGGGTATACCGACGACGAAATGTAACTATGCGTTTCTTTTTTTGAAGAGTATATGTCAAATTAACGTTATTAACAAGTCAAAATTGATAAAATGTGTTAAAATTATATTTGCAATGTGTTTAACCAGTTCTATTACATACAGTATGTAATAATTGGCTGACACAAACATTGTCCTCGGCGGTTCGATGACCGAATGGTTAGCGCGTGCGCGCTGCATCATAAGGTCTGTCATTGAGTAAACTGGCGTGTTTCGATTCCCCGGTTGTAAGTGACAAGGAGTATAGGGTCGCCTATCCTACCTCGTTGGTTTTCTCCGAGTCCTCCAGTTTCCTCCCACTGCTATAGACCCCTACGCGCAGGCGAATTATTGAAATAAAATTGAACCATGTTAGTCCCGAAATTACCAAGTTTGTGTCGTGTGGATGTTAAACCCCATCTCTCTCTCTCTCTCTCTCTCTCTCTCTCTCTCTCTCTCTCTATTTCGCCCTCTCTCTCCTTAAAATTTCTTAGCCCACTTCTTTAATGTGGAATAGGAAGGGGCATCATCGCTTAAAGTGGAGACCATGTCGGCATGTATCTGTGTTGGGTTAATTTTTTCAGTTCAGGTACTGCCCTATAGCTAGTTTTGTCCATTCCTGGTGATTTCAATGGGTAGGTTCACAAGATGGTCTGTTACAAAGACAATAATAACACTACAGTTGCAGTTCATACAATTTTTGTACTTATTAGTGGCAAAACTTTGTTTCAACCCAACTGATCTATCCTTTTCAGGCTTAGACCTTTTCAGCCTGCCTTTGTATAGTACTATAATATAATTACCCCGTTCTATCATTTTATTATTACATGTACAGTCGAATTAACGATTTTAAATTAATGATATACAGAATGGGTAAGCATATAGATACATTGCTTATCAACATAATTTACAAAATTTTGGACAATATTTTCGCGTGGCCTGAGTTATTGTGTCGCAAATTTGTAGACGGTTTTGAAGTTCTTCACAATTCAAGCTACTGTCGTCTACACATGATGAGGTCGTGGGTGCAATAGAATCTGTTGGTACACTGGAAGCTGTTGGTGCATTGGAAGCTGTGGGTACTATGGAAGCTGTAGTTGCTATTGGTGGTTGTGATGATTGTGAAGAAGCTAGCGACGGGGCCGGTGTAGCTGTAGATGAAACTGAAAATAATATTCCTCATTGCAGTTGTAAATTTATACACACACTTGGTATACTGCATGGAACCAATAAGCTTCGCTAGGAGGTGTTTTTCGAACGCTAACTGGATGACCATCTATGTTTGGACCTCATTGACTTCAGTGCTAAAACTTGACCTATGACATGTTTTTTGAAATATTGAAAGGGGTTAACCATTTCGTTTTCTTGCTAGGCCCAGTCATAGGAATCCATAGGCAGTGATGTCATTTCTGCAGGCGATCACCCTAATTCATATATGTTTACTTCCTGGTAGAAAATTTAAATTCAAACACCCTTCTTCGATGCTAAACCAAAAGGTCAACAAAAATTACCATGCAAATGGGGTGGGGGGGGGAAGAACTGCTATAAATAGAGGAAGTACCATTGTGAGAGATCGGGTCCTGGGATCAGGTGAAGCAATTACTAGTCTCAAAAGTGATGCTGAAATGATCTTACCATTAGGTCTAGGGCAAAGATGGCGATTACAGCCAGATTTTACACAACATTCATTACAAACTTGAATCTCAGGCGCTCGCTTTTTACCAAAATTATCTAAGATTTCACAACGCTGTAAATAATAAATTAGCACTTAAACATGTTATATTTATATAAAAAGTTTATCATTCTGTGTATTCTTCCAATTTCATGTTATATTTATATAAAAAGTTTATCATTCTGTGTATTCTTCCAATTTCATGGTTTGGGTTCGACATACTGCGGTTTAACTGTACTTTTAACACAATTAAAATGCGCTAGGAACGGCAACAAAAATACAAAGCATAAAGCATACCTTTTTTGTTTCGCATCCAACTCTAAATAACAGCTCGTTGTTCTGTGAATAATATTCACCTGTATAACAAAGCTGTAAATAAAACAATAATGTGTCCTTATTAATAAGCAACCAATCCATTCTGTGTGGGGGTTAACAGCGGCGTTTTTCGACTACTCATATTTGCATTTCAATCTCAGCGACGCATTTACGTTTTCGTCAATGTTTACACGAGAGCACCCCAGTTTCCATGCAACCCGTAGGACAGAGGTCACAATTCTATGGAATACAATAACTGTTTATTTCTGAGCGACGTTTCGACTAGGCTTCTTTAGTCTTTATCGAGCAAGGGAATACTTTATCTGTCAACCCTCACACAAGGCTCTTCTCACACAAGGATTTGAAACTGTTACAGCACCCTGTACACGACTTCTAGTAGGACAAGGGCGATACACAAATTTATTTTATTTATGTTCAATCCAGAAGTATCAATTCATATGTACAAAAACTTGTTAGATCGTACATCTTAAATTCGGTTAGTTAGTTTAGCAGCGACATTGCAGTTTACATACACGCACACGATACAACTTTATATGATTGTAAATTGCTTTACAAAATGAGAAATAGTATTGAGTGATCTAGAAAAGGAAAGATATCCTTTCTAATGCCACATACAAGAACTATACAGTCGGAAACGTGACTCAAGTTATGGGTTTCAGAAAGATCTCAACTGCTGTAACCGTAGTCAGATTGCTGGCAACGCACCAATGCTATTGTAATCATTACTAGATAACACATGGTCATAGACCATTACCAAAATCAAACTTTCTTAGTTGAAAGTATTGTTAACAAAGGTAATGGAAATGGTATGGTTATTTCAAGCTAATTGATAGTAGGTGGGCGTACCTCATCTTCTTCACAGAGAACCTTTTTACGACATTCACTTGGATTCTTAATTCCATCACATTCATAACATTCAGATCTGTTATACGATGCTAAATAAAACAAGAACAAATAAAATTCTTTTATAACAAAAACCCACGAGTTAAGATAAATTATGACCAACTTACAATGTTAATGGATACTGTATTATCTAAACAAGTATATAGCGATAGAAGTTGGTAACTTAATCGGACTGTCAACGAGAGAGAGAGGGGGGGGGGGGGAGAGAGAGGGGGGGCACTTGGTCATCACGCATACTCGTAATGTATTTGGTGGGCAGACCGTGGTGGTCGACGATAAATACGTACCTGGCCATTCACAAATATATGTATTACATAGATCATCTGGACAACAACCATCACATAACTGTAATGATGATCTCTTACTTGGCATGTGTGCTAGAATAGCGCAAACCTTTTAAGAACAACAGCACAATCAATTAATATTCGTGTTATTATTATGGCATTATGGGAGTAAATGGTTCAATTATGTATGCGGAGACTATGCTCTTTAAAAAAAAAACTTTAGAAAATTCGTGTAAGGAGTAGATGTTAGTATTAATCAGTGGCGTAGGAAATGTGTCTATATTGGTTTTATTATGTTAAATCTGGTACATTTTGATCATTTCAATCCGTATCGACAGAAATAGCCTATCTATTTCATAGCCAGTTGCATAAAAATGGTTTATTCAACTTGCTTTTTAGAAACAGGAACGTCGGTGGCTTTATCAGGTTAACATTAATTCGCCAAAAAGTAACTTTTCTAGTTTCTATACCCGGTACCGGCACTTAAAATTACTCCATCTTAACACAATTAACAGAGCTAAAATTATGGATATCATTCCAATGAAATATCACCATACCTCTTTCTTCAGACATCCGGAATTGAAGAAAATATTGCCATCGTCACCAACAACTCTTTCTGTGAAACACTCCTATATACAGATATTAGATAAGATTTGTCTCGTCGATTAAAATTAATGTTTACAATGAATAATAGGAAAAGAAAATACATAGAAATATATGATGTATCTATCTTTTCAATCCGATAGTTTGTTAATTTTGGTATAAAAAAAACACTGCTCTGAAGTAGTTTTATGTTATTACCGAATCCGACCAATAATGAATAAGACTAAACATGTTGAGTTAGTTCAACAAAAGAATCCCAATGGAATATTTAGTACATACAAATCAATAAAATGAACCAAAATGTATAGTACAACGGCATACTAACACGTGTACATTTTTGTACTAGTAAATAATGCACCCATTCGGTAAGATTAAATAAAGAGCTGACAGTTCTCGCTATAATAGTTAAAAGAATAGATAATGAAAACAGAATATGCTGAAATTTCAGTCAAATTGCTTCACTCTGAACCGAGATATTAGGGATTCAATTTTAGGCTAGTATCGATCGTAATTACTACCGTTGGTACGATAATAAACAAAGTCTCGATTACACATTTTTACCTACATATCGCAGGCTAACTTTAATACGCTCGAGTAGCATTATCATAGACCGTAAAATTTCATTTTATCTTTGTAACAACTGAACGGAATTGGACCAATTTTGAACTGATGTTCCTTTTAGAGATTCAACTTTCACAATAGATTAATATAGCGCTAAAATGACGCATCAGGTCTTATTATTACTTTGAAATACATAGTTGATTACATCAGTAATTAGGAAAGATTAGATCTTCTTTTTATATACATTACCTCGTCTGGTTGACATTGCATAGTTTGAACACAGAACTGAGGAGAGGCTACACCAGAACATACTCGACACCGGACAGCTACATATTAAATAAAATTACATTTAATAGACAACTGAATAACTAAACACATAAATAAAAACATAAAAATAACATATTTCCAACACGCAATGCTAAATTCAAAATGAATCCAAAGCTGTCATCTACGCGAACCTAGCTGCTTGTTTGGTCACAATTTCCCAGTCTTGATTATGAAACTGATCGGCCGAAGAACTTACTTGTCTTAAAAATGGAGTATTTCAAAGCGGTTAACCTGAAAACATGATACCCACAGTAAAATATACGAGTAGACAGACTAAAAGCGGAAATTGCAAATTTTCTAAGAAGGTCAAAACGTAATTATTTCTATGTCTTTTGCTCAATAGGTTGTCAACTCACAGGTATACGATCATAGGTGTCATTCTCACACTTAAAACTCATTTACACAGGAAATAATAACACAATTACCTCCCAATTACCTCCCTTGTTTTCTATTCTCCACCTTGGAGTAGCTTTTCAAACGTTTGAAAATGAAGAGGAAAATGATATTTTTTCCAATTTCTCAGCTGGCAATAGTGAATTATAGAATTAATAGGATTATTCTTCAACAAGGTAGGACTGTTTATGGATACCATCTATTTTCAGGCTTTATTTTAATTTGCAATTTCCGCTTTAAAGGTTGATTTATAAATTGGGGTAATATTAAATATTACCGTATTCTTTTAAACTGATATGTCTTGCTATTGCAAACCAAACCTGAGATCTCTGGTACAAACTTACCACATGAAATCATTTAAGTAGCTAGTGGTATCAGGTATAAAGAAGGGACAGTCGGATTAAAACACAGATCCTATATCATTTCGATTTTTATACTTCAAATTGTCGTTTTACCTGTCTTTATTACACCAGGGTTATATCTATTTGTTAAGGCCAACTCAGTTTTCGTCAAGGTCGCTGAGATTAAGGTTATGGCACGTGATTGTTGGCGTGATTGTAAATTAAGATAAGTGTTAGGGCTAGGTCCAGGGTAAGGGTTAAGATTGGGATTGACGCTAGTCCTATTTACATTTAAAGTTGATCTTATACAATAAATCGAACCCTACACTAGGATCTGGAAGAGTTGTTATATAACCCGCGTTCTGGTTGATGTGGGAACTAGCCAATTAAACGGTCTGTTGTGGTGGTTTCTTCGTGTGCTGTTCATGGAACTGTTGGTATCCCATATGAAACATCAATGTCGATTGGTTAATCATATGCCTGACGCCATAGGGTCAAAAACCGCTCGTATGACCCCTGACACGACCTCCAACTGCAACCGGTCAGATCTTAATGTAGTGGAGGCCATCAAAAGTATAAAAAAAAACGGGAAGAAATAAAAGATCTGTATTTTAATCAGATTGAAAGAAGAGAGAAAACCCATCATCACTCGTGATGTAATAACAATCTTTCAAAGATCACTTATAAATTCAACAGTGGGGTGCAAATTGTTGAATTGTGTAATTTTAATATGAGTTACATTTAGATGCTCTAGAATTCTTACCTTGCGATGTCACAAAACAACCTATTAAAACCAAAGCTGGAATACATTAAAGAGTGCATTTTATTGACCCTTCAAAAATGGTGATACCAATAAACATAATCAAACACTCATCTTTGATACAAATCTGTATAACAGCTATTGTTGATGAGACGCTGAAGGTAACAGATTGTTATTTATTTATTTATTTATTTTTTTAATTTTAATCTAATTTTAAAGAAATTGTCGAAAGGCGAAAGTTAAACAGTTAAACAGTTTTAGGATATTCAGGATATTAGGACAATTAATTAAATCGACCAAACTTACTATGGCCATTTGAATTTTAATTTCTTTGATTTCGCATCGCCAGTTCTCTGTGAGTAATAACAACTGAATAAAATATGCTAACCTTTTCGTACATGCCAGCCTATTGTTCATATTGTGTTTATTCTCAGGCGTTCCTAATTGCATAATAAATCATTACATGGAAATTACATACTGACAAACTAAACAATTTTCCAAAATTGACGTAACGTAAAATAATTATATTTTTAATGTTTTAGGGGCCTTAATTTAGCGTTTAGTTCCCTGACGAAACAATATGTGATTACCTTGTAATAAAGCTACCATTTTCCTAATATATATACAGAGCCCTAGATATATTCCTTAAATTGTTGACCAAGTGCTTGAACTTCATAAAATTACAATAAAAGGTTATCATCTGACCATACCAGATGAAAGATAAGATAACAATCCCACACCTGTACAGATATACGGCATATTATAGTCAATAAAACCGACATTTTCTATCATATAGAACAATTTTTTTTTTTTTTTTCAATTCTTATTTATGAAAATATTTAGTCTAGTAAGTGTAGTAAAATCTGAAGCTATATTAAACACGATTAGATAAACTGAAAACAGTCAATAAACATAATCCAGTGGTTTGGTGACGCCCCGAACGAACTCGTTGATTATATGCCCCCAAGACTTAAGTATGTGCCTATATAGTACTAAAATATGTGGGAAAGGGAAACATTTTAAATAAAATGTGTAAAAACAGAGATAATAAACTTGGGGCTTGTACAACAGTGATAATTTTAAACTTCAAAAAAACTTAATTTTAATTTCAATCTTTGAGTTGCTGCTCCTCTAAAGCAGTGACACCAATAAAATAATAATACATGTACTTTTTGTCTAGTTGTGAATTCAAAGTAGTCGCGTATACATGTTTGTTTAGTAATACTGGATCTCTGGCACCCCAATATTTCTTTTAATTTCATCATACTAAATCATAGCGTCTAAAAGCGTTTCAAAATGCCGTGAATTTGAGTATTTCCCACCCCAACTATTTTAGCGATTACGCGACCACTAAATAAAATCTCGGTGCTTTTTGTGCTGACATAAATTAATTACGCTTGGGTGCATTGGAAGCGAACATCAATACTTGCATCGATAAATTTGACCGTCGCTAAATCTTGCGCCGAACGAAAATTCTTTACTCAAATCTCGAACATAACTTCTGTAAACTTCTCATTTTGTACCAACCTTCGATACTATTGTCTACCATTGTGATGCATTCGATAATACATGTATTTATCCATTTTTGTGAAGAAAATCGATGAATTAATTTTATTTTATCAATAAAGCACATGAACAAAAAAACATCGATTTTATCACCGATTTACAGGGGGTGAAACCCTGTATGTAATATTGTAGGGGGCGCTAAAACGTCTGTTTAACAACAAAGTGACAATGGAAAAAAGATACTAGATGATCGTGACAAAACTCGGTAGTTTCATTTTATTCAATCAGTATCAAATAATGTGTCGTTACGCGTGAAAACAATGATCAGGTTAGTCGCTTAATAAAACAAAAGATTAATAAACAGATAATCCCGGGTTGATTGTTATTTATACATTTCTTTTTACCTGATCAGTGGGAGTCCAGTTAATTAACTACTACTCACAGGATTAGCGGGAGTGTTACAAAGAAAGAACGATAAGATGGTATCATTCAACAATGGCCGTTGAATGGGCGATGTTTTGTTGAATTTATTAGTAAAATAGTGACCGCTGGCCGCGTTAGAGGAGTGACCGTTGGAACAGTAGAATTTTTACGGGGGGAATTAATCGTGATGCCCGTTGCACGCGTTGAACAGGTGCGTGTTTAGTAGGGGTTAAATTACTTAAAAATCGCTCGGGGTAATTTTTTGGTGCTCGTTGAAGCAAGTGTTCGCTGATTAGGAGTGCACGTCCGAGCAAGTTCTACTGTACATGCACGACAATGTGCACGTACGGGACCTCATGTTTTCATCCCATCCAAACGACTAGAGAACTGTCCTTCTCAGGACCTCCGTCTTTCATCACTGACAAGGGGTAATCTCGATTCTTACACACTGATCGATTTGAAATAATTATTTTCTATTTAACCTACATTACATATATAAATCAAAAGATAACCAATAATGTGTTTTATATTTCAATATAAACTTATCCTATTTTGGAAGGGTGTAGTGATATGCCTAGTGCTATGAGTCGCTGGCTATAGCCCATAATCCAAAAACTCCCCACATCCAACGTGTGACGCATACTCCCTTCAGCTACATATTTTAATAGCCTTGTGATCGTCTAGTATTGTCTCTGGTTATACTTTTTTCTTATTCCTCTTCTTAGGACCCACGTTGTGTATATTCTTCTTACTATCTAAGTAGTTAAGACGTTTGTCTTACCAGGAAAACAATGCAACAGATCCCTTTCCACATTTCTATGTCAAGCACTGGATACATAAGTTACAAGCATATATAGATTACAACATAATACTTAAAATTAAGTTGTATTTCCCTCCACCCCAACTCCTGTAAAAAAAAGTCTAACCAGCGTAGCTAGATTCAGGAAACCGCTACATCGTATGGTCGTCTAAAGAACAAAGGCGATGTCTAACACTAAGAAATCTTCATGATGTCTACCCTCTCTAAAATCTATAGGACCTAAATTAGTCTTATAACATTGACAGTGTCCTTGAGACAGCTCTGTCAATTATTTAATTGGACAAATATTACGTAATTAATTATGAAGATTGGTTATTAAGCCTAACGACGTCAAGAACCACCCTTATATGGACAGTAGGAACTTTCCACCAGAAGTGTCAGACGTGTTATTTTGTAATGTTTATGAAATTATAACTGTTTTTTTTATAAACTATCATTCAATTTGAGTTCATGAGATATGAATTCTCTATAATACATGTATATGAACCCAATAATTAGTTAAAGATATAATATAATGCTATTATTAATTTAAAGATATAATATAATGCTATTATTAATTTAAAGACCAAAATTCTATCAATCTTACTACAAGGGTTCCCTTAATTACGTCTTAATCCGGCATTGAACTTCTCTAGTGTAGGCTAATTAATATTTGAAATACTGTCGATCGACCACAGGGTTCACAATCCTGTTGAATAGTCAAAACTCACTCATCGTTTTGTTGTGATTCTTGTTATTTTTTATTTTTTCCGATCTATTTTTTGTTCGCTAAACTTGCCAAGATTCAGATTCACGCATCTCGATTTTACATAAAGTTATTTCCCATATCGGCGAGACCTTTTGGTTATTGACGCTCTACATAGGTCCATATGGTTCAACCTTTCTCGGATGGTTTAACTATTATAGTCATAAAGAGGTTTGTCAAATCTATATCTGTACATTAATACGCAGGGTTATTACTCTGGCCACAAAAACTTGTAACTTCTCCATATAAATTTGAAAACATCGAAAATTTCGAGGTTTTAAATTCAATTTAATTTGCAAAAAGATTAATAATTAATAAGAAGAAAATTCGGATGGCTGGGATTAACTTTTCTAAGTCTTTGTTGTCAAACCATGAACTAGAATGTCTCGGTTTTTCGAGAATTCTAGGTTTTATTAGGTATGACAGTTTAAATAAAGCAAGGCTCTTTAACATATTTTCACCACCCTCAATCCCCAACACTATCCCCATTATCTAGTTATTCTATTTTAAATGCGTAAAACGAAGGACTGTCGTGGTCTAGGGGAGATAACTTCATTTTTCTCCGGAAGTTTGCGATAGTAAACAAACTTGACATTCTGAAGTGTTATTCTTTATTTTATCTTGTTATTTATTGAATACGTGGCATTGATCAGTAATCCAATGATTATATCAAAGTAGGTTAGGTTAACTTTGATAACATGTAGATTAACCATAGACACTTGAAAGAAAGTATATATATATACATATAAAACCAACATTGTTTTCTTTAAAAGTTACTATATACCGGGTACTAGCCTTTGAGACTAATGTAAACAATAATTAATTTTCATCCTGTTCAATTGTCTGTGGATTGAATAAGAACGAATGTCAAAGGTTGCCATGTTTGAAATTTGTTAAAGATATGCATGTAGATCATATTTATATACATATAACTTATAAGTATTGATTTGAAGTAAAATTAAGCTGTATTATTAATATTATAGCCATGCTGATCATATTAATTAATATTAATATTATTAAAGTTTATTCACAACTACATGTATAAGCATGAGTAGGCCTATGTGAGTTACAACAAACATTCAGGCTCATCCCTATTTAAGGAGCTAAATCGCTAATATTTGGGACCTAGAAATTGACACAAATGGGTCGCAACACATAATGTAATATGAATGTAAACTGATTTACATTCAATCCTTTCTGTTTATACCATAATTTCTAATCAGTTATGTTCGGCGAAATACTCCAGAAGTCTCAATTGAATGGCAATCTCTAGCGCCTGGTTATTCTAGTACATGCTCTCCAGTTAAGAATATGGCATCACTGTTTGACATAACTTGTGAAATATGTCTAGCATAATGGTTTTGTGTACCAATGGTAAAATGTTTATTTTGTCCTAAATATTGAATATCAGAAGCCCATCTTTTCCCAGTCACAACATCAATGTTGATTTGAATTGACAAATAATTTGTGTTTTCGATGTCGAAGACTTTGGATGATATTGAGTTAGAGACTTAGCTACTTTAATGTCAAAATATAGGCTATGACCATATTTCATATTCAGCATGCAATTTTGGAGAAATCTTTGGCCTAGGGCCTAGGCAAAACAATACTGTTGCATATATTGTGATATAAAACCTATTGGCCACAAACTGTAATTTGAACCCAGAAATCCCTGGCTGCAGTATGTGCTATATCTTAATAGTTTGTATCTTTATATTTATGTAACTTTATTTTTTAATTCAGGTCATGTTCTTAAGTAAAAAGATATGAGTCCGTCTGGCCTACAAATAAATAAACCAGTAGCTGTAGCTATATTTGGTGTAATAGTGACAGTGTCTGTTGTCTATTATTATTCTGATACATTTGGATTGACTAAAACTAAAAACTTGGCTGAACCTTCTACTAAAACATCTAGAAAAAATATGGAGGAAAAAAATATTGTTGTGAATGTCAATGGAGAGGTAAGCTGTCAGGTTTATTAAGGATCTCTATATTAATGAGTAACCGGTTGTGTACGTACAAATCTAGAATGTGATAGTAGGCTACCCTTAACAAATCAGCCAATTTTAATTGATCAAAAATTGTATTTATATTTGCTTCAGCATAACTAACATTTCTCTAAAATATACTTTGTCTCCCGAAAAAGTTACCCCTTAGAAAAATGAGCCATAATACAGCGAAATCTTGCCTGAAGTAGACGTCAATATGACAAAACAAGTAGGTAGGCGATTTGCAAGAAGTGTGATGGGTGATCAGTATACAATATAATATTTGATCAGTGAAAATCAAAGGATAATATCAAAATGATTAAAACTCTGTGAAACAGTTCCAGATGTTTCAGAAAGAGTACACAAACCTGCACTGCCTTGAATTAGTCACTAGCAACTATTGTGAGAGTATTTTCAATTGACAGTCTACTGGATACTTAAAAAGTACTAGATTGGAACTGCATTTTAGACAATAAATATACTGCTTTGATGCAGATAATATTCCTGGTATTTTAATTCAGATAATAGAATAATACTATAGATAAAATATGTTGTATTGTAGATTAGATAAATTAAAATAAAATGCACTGCCACATGTACAGTAATATCAGGAACCACACATCAGATTATAAAGAGAGAGTGTTTTCATATTTTCTTCTGTTTGAATATATTGTGGAATTGATGTGTTTGGTGAGAACTGTTGGCATGGTGCCTGAATATTTATTATTTACATCTATTCATTTCAGGACCTAAAAATTTTCACTCGTCAAGTAAAGCCGGATAAAGAACCCATATTTGATATATTATTATTACATGGCCAAGCTTTTTCGTCTCAAAATTGGATGGATATTGGAACACTTGATATGTTAAAAAAGACTGGCTACCGAGCAGTAGCAGTTGATTTACCAGGTAGGCTACAAGTAATCTTATATTTCAGGGTGACAAAGTCTTTCTAGGGTGTACATTGATACAAGTAATTTGAGCTCAAAAGATTGACCAAAATTATCTCATGCTTAAAGGTGCACTCTAGCCATTACAGATTTTTTATGTTTTATCCATTATCTAGTGTTTACATAGTTTATACTATGCAAAATTCGAAGTGCAAATTGTGTCACATAACTTTTCATTATATGATTTTTAACAGTATTCACTTGTGGTAGCTCTGAAATCTAATGTTAAGAACGTAATATGCTAGTTTGGGTTAAATTCCATATTTGCACTTGTGGCTTAACCAGAGGTGGGAACTCGAGTTCTGCAACCAGACTGGAGTCCGACTTAAGTCGCATCAAAGACCTGACTTGACATATTTATCACGACACTCGAAATGAATCGGGCTTGTCTTATTCGCAATGAATTGCTGACTCATTTGATGATTTGGGCTTTGTGAGAACTTAGGATTGGATTCGACTCAGTATTAAAGTCAGCAACTTGGGACTCGACTCCAGGTGTGGCAACTTGGGAACTCGACTCGACACCAGGTGTGGCAACTTGAACTTGAGGTGCCCCAAATTATTCCCACCTCTGGTAATCTCTCCTATTTATTTTTTTGTTTTGTTTTTTTTTAATTTTAACTCATTTAATGTAGCAATTTTAATCCTCAGGCATATTTTCCCATTTACTGTTAAAGACCCCTGCATGCTCAAATTATTGAAATTGAACCATAAGTTTGTCCTGGGTGTTAGCTGGACATTAAAGCACATTTTTATCAACTGTCCAATCCCTGTCCTCCTTATCTCAGATATGATAACAATTGAAGAGTCCAGGGGAAGAATGATCTAAGTCACATTTTTGTCTTTGTGCACAAAAGGCAAAACAGACATTTGACGAGAATGCTTGACGCGAACAGAACAACAAGTGGGTTTAGTTACAACTTCAAAATGATGTTTAATACGAATCATAATTACCAGTACAACAACTGACTTCCACTTTTCCGCCAAATTAAGGTCAAATAAATATGATGGACTTGTATTTGACTGGGAGGCCATTTCAGAAGGGCCTTGGCTCGATGTGATTCCGATCGTTTTTACCTGAAATTGATTGTTCCACTGAAAGCTTATACAATTTGCTACCAGATGACCCCATTAACTGGGGTTCGTTGAAAAAGTGACTTAGATCGTTCTTCCCTGGGGCTCTTCAATTGTATTCTTTTGATTTTTTAAACTATTGTAGGCTATGGAAAAAGTTCTAAAACTGAGATCAAGGAAAAAGGAGAGTTTATAAAGGATTTGATAAAAACACTAGAAATGAATGCCCCTGTGATTATTAGTCCATCAATGAGCGGTTCATTTGCTTTACCCTATATTTTTAATGGAGAGGCAAGCAGTGTACTGAAGAGAGCTCGAGCCTATATACCTGTTGCTCCAGTCGGTACTTCAGAATTTAAAGAGAAATATCCACAAAGTCAGGTAGACTTTCCATTGTTTTTCTTTTGTAATTTATCTAGATTATTTTGATATATTTACAGTAGGACCGATCTCACTAGGAAATCATTGATATTGATGAAATAAAGCTCCATAAAGCCCATAAATTTCTGTAATACATATACTGATGTTCTCTACATGAACATTGTATCATAAGGTCTGTCATTGAGTCAGCTGACGTTATTTCGATTCCCCAGTTGTACGTGACAAGGAATTGGGTCGTCTGTCCAAACACGTGGGTTTTTTCTGAGTCCGCTGTTTTCCTCCCACTGCTAAAGACCCTACGCACAAGCAAATTATTGAAATAAAATTGAACCATATGTTAGTCCCGAAATGACCTGGTTTGTGTCGAGTGGACGTTAAACCCCATTTCTCTCTCTCCCTACATGAATACTGTGCTTCTCTTTCTTGACACTTTCCAAACCCTATTAGAACCATTTATGACATAACTTATCGGAGTTGCGGTGGCTCAGTGAGTAAGATGCTGGTCTGTGTTTGATCCTGGTGTTGGCCCAGAAAGTTCATCAGGGTTTTCTGACATGGTTCCCCCTTGTCAGTGTGACAGGGCAGAGGGTCTGGCAAGGGACAACGTCTGTCTGTCTGTCTGTCACACCTTTTGGGACACAACAACTCTCCATGTAATTCAACTAGAATGTTCAAACTTGGTGTAGGTGTTTATTAGGTGAATGCCTTGTTGAAGTTCGAAGATGTGCATTTATTGCTTAGGGTAAACAGAGATAAGCAATTTGATTGGTTGATGCTTTGGGACACGATAAATTTGGTTCTAATCAAAGATTAACATTATCCACTAAAGCTGTAGGGCTAATCAATTTCATTGGTCAATGCTTTGGGACACGATAACTTTGATTCTAACTGATGGAGAGATGAAACTTAGTGTATAGTTTCACTACCAGGTACTTCGAAGCCATTAATGAGTTCGATTGTGAACATTTTCTGCTTAGACTAAGTATAGATGATCAGTTTGATTGATCGATACTTTTCGAAAAGATAAATGTGCAATTAATTTGTATGTGTCATCTATTTCTTTTGGAATTGTGACAATGGACATCAGCCTCACTGTTGGCTTTTTCTTTTATAGATTCCCACATTAATTGTAAGAGGTGAGAATGATCTGTCATTGGGGACTCTGAGTGAAAATAATTTAAAAACAATACCAAGAAGTGAAGTACATGTCATACAAGATGCAGGACATGCTTGTTATATAAACAAACCTGATGAATTTCATAATCTTATTTCCATTTTCTTAAAATCTGTACAAAGCTAAAATTGAAGATATGAATTTGACCCAAAGCTTGTTTTATTAGTTCCAAAAGCACATGCAAGAAACTACACCTATCTTTGTTTCATGTAGACAGACACACTCTGAGTGTGATTACATTATTATAGCTCATAGGTTTTTACTTTTTTCAATGTATGCAATATTAATAGTCCCATTTATAAATGTTTCTCAAAAGACCTCATATCAGCCATTCTTATACCAAGACATAGACTCCCTACCACTCATCTATCCGTTCATCTCTACTGGGCATGTCTGTATTAGCTATTATACCACACCATGTCCATTTCTTATTGTCTGTATATCACAACCTTTACATTACAAATATGAATGAAGTTCTTAATTGAGTGTCTGTTCGGGTCTTTTTCGGTTAACATTAGCAAGTTTCAGCAGGCGATGAAAAGTTGCTGACAAGCAGGCACTGGATAAATTCATTCAAATTAAAACATTTTCCCTGAATATATATTCAACTTTATTACTAATATATGCAGAAGAATTTAATTATTAATTGAGGATTCATGGATTATGGCAGCATTTTTGTAATTGTTACCACTTAGATTCATTTCTCAAACAATCCTTAGTAAGTAAACAGTTGAAGAATAATTTGTCACTACTAACTATGGATTTTACAGTGTTTGTGACAGTAGTGTTATTAGTAAACAGAAAGAGAGGTATCAGTGTCATTATATGAGAATGATTTTCAAGAGGTCATATATCAGACAAAAGACTTTTAGATTTAAAACTAAGAAAATATTTATGCATGCATGTGCCATTTTGTGAACTATTTTTTTAACATTCTGGTGGTATTTCATTAGTGGGGGATTATTTTTGAACATTGTTTGAGGGTTTTTTTAAGGTTTATTTGTATGACCATTGTGGTCACCTTAATTTTTGTTTTTTTATCTGTTATTTTCCATAATTAACATATATAATATGTAATCCATTATGTGTCTTGAAATGTTGTTTTAATTTATTATATTGATCTTTAATGGATAAAAATTGTCTTCAGTGGATACCGAAACTGTAACAACATGTTAAATACATACATAAACCAGGTGTACTAGATGAGTTTTTTTAATAATTTCTTTTATGAAAGCCAACGTCCAGGGGCGGATCCAGGAATTTTTGCAGGAGGGAGTTTGCTAGGTTCCTGTTAAGGAAATTTGACAGTTGACAATGCATGACGCCATCATCGTCTCCAATTTACGTAGGCATACATACACTTTGAACTTTTTAAAGAGAGAAATCTATTTTTATAACGAATTAATCAGATCACATTCTGGTTCAATTTCATTGATGCAAAGCATTAATTGTGATATGACACATGTCTATATCATTATTTCGCACTTTGAATGCTCATCCCATCCCAACATCTGATGATAAAGGATAAAGCATATGATCTTGTTTTACAATTTTTTTTATGTAGCTTAGCTGACGTCCACATTCTTTAAACATAATCTAGTTAAACGTAAAAAATATATTTCATCATTGATGAAGACTAGAAAAGCCTAGTTGTAACGTTGTCGCTGTTATAAAAGTTAAGAATTTGTTATTCCATAGGGTTATTTTTATTTATTTATGCTTGTCAATTACTAAATGCCATTTAAACAACATAATTCCATTTAGTTCCCCAAAAATTTCAAATCTGTTAGTTAATTTATTGCATCAACAATAGAAAAGGATAAGACAACTTGTGAACATCTTCTCTCGTTATAATTCCTTTGTTCATAAATCAGTGTTTAAAAACGGATAGTTCCTGATTATCAAGTATTGTGCACAATTGCTGCTTTCATAACTTGAATCTAAATTATCTTTTCCTATGTGTGACACATAATTTCTGTCCACTTTCATCAACATCTCATTGTGTAGCCCACACTTTCATGACAATATGCTTAAAAAAATAAAGTATTATGAATTTTATTTAACCATTATTTGAACATTTTTATTAGGTTACTCGCCATATATACAGAGTATAGCCCCTCTGAATATTAGTGATGCATTCATTGGGGGGGGGGGGAACAAGAGAAAGCAGAACGTTTAACAATTAACAATGATGGCGAATTAATTGTCGATCAATAATGATGGCGAATTAATTGTCGATCAATAGTCAACGATACTGATTGATATACAACCTTCCTAAGTTTGTCCCCAATGTTATTTTTCCCAAGTTAACTGTGTGAACTGTGTATTGATTGAAAAAAAAAAAGACTTTATTAGAAATCAGTACTTGTGTTTTCATCTAAATAAAATTTGAGGGAAATCAATAACCCTCTAGTCATCATACCACCTAGTTGCATTTAGGTATATCATTGTAATATGGATTAAGCTTTTATTAATTACTTTATATTTCATGGAAATGTCATTAAGGATATTTTTGTTTTCTGATATTATATTGTTTGTTTATTTGCTACTCTGTATATACTGGTAGCTTTTCTATTTTACCAAAAATGTATGTTTATATTCTGAATGTTTATGAACAAAATGTCAAAGAAAAGGGTGAGTTTGTAATTGGAATGTAATTCCCTAGTATTATATTCATTGTTTTAAGTGATTAATGTTTCTAGGTTGTATATACTTGTAACTTTTCTATTAAGATTATTTTACGATAAATATGTAGTATATTTCTGAATATCTAAGAATAAAACTTTAAGCGAAGGAAAGTTTGAGTTCTCATTTATCATTATTTGATTCTCCCAATGATAAATTATAAATCCATGCTGTTCTTACTCATCTTCAATTTCAAATGCTGACAGATCTTTTAAATACATACAGTGTGCAACAATAAACGACTAGAAAAATACCAATGTCATCATGTATCATAGTATATTTTTATATCAGAATACCAAGTTTCGCTATATGTAATTATTTCACCCACCATTGAGTATCAATATCAAAAAGCACTGACAGACAATGCGACATAGTCTCTTTAAAGATGAGGAGGACTGTTTAAAAACATGCAACTTGTATGCATATTTATATGGATATTTTAACAATAACACTTTTATTAAGCATAAGCTGTTTATTGTTACCAAACATAAGAATACAGACTATAATAAGATCTGTTATTTAAACCAAAATCATCATTTATATATTTAAGGAATAATCTTCCAATTTACAAAATTGTATTTTTCAATATCTTATGAGTATCACAATATATAAGAGGTTTTTTTTATATCATAAATAGATTAAGTAAAAAAATTAGATATAAAAAACAAGTATGACATTTTTAGTACCGGTAATCAGTGATTTTTAAAATGAGATAGTAATCAGAATGACTGATTCCAGGAGATATCATATAATACAGTCTGTCCGGTATGGGACATGGGTATTATAGAAATCAAGTGATTCAAATTAATAAACCAATCTCTAGCACCTTGTGCAGAATTTACATGAAATCTTCCGTAAGACTTCCTTCACTCTCTTTCATTAGAGTAACGAGGATGAAATAGAAAGTAATTTTTAAAAAACATAAATAAAACAGACAGCCGTGTCCTCTTAAACTGAGATAGTCATCTTGGAATAGTCATCTTGGAATCTACTCATTCGGACATTTAGAGATATGTGAATCTTGTTTTAAACATTTCTTCTTGTACTTTTTATTGCTTGGAATAACAAATTTGGATTTATCAAATCAATTAACTGTCACAATTCTTATCTTACACTGGCTAAACTGGGCTAAACCTCTTCAATTTAGCTCAAATAAATTATTGAATTGGGTTGATCTGAAATGTTATTTTGATAAGTGATGGAGAAAACTTTATGAATTTAAATCTTTGTTTCGAAAGATAAAGTGGAGGTTGACTTGTATCTTAAGTTTAGTTTCAATTCTAGTTCTCTGTGTCAACAGTGGCACACAACATTGGTTGTATCTGAACCCTGGCTGCATCTACATTACAGAAATCAAAACAAATCAACCCTTAAAATCTAATTAAATCAACAAGTTTGACCCAAATCAAGGCGTTTGTTTCATTTTGCTATTACAAACCCTTATCATTAAATAAGCAGCTTAATACCTACTGGTACAAATAAATCATTAACTAAACTTGTAACAATCAGATTATAATAAATGTTAGTTGTAAATAGGCTAACATATTATAGTAATATTGACTTGAAATTAAAACACAAACAATTATAATAGCCACAGATATAATATTAAATATACATGGTGCCGACTTCACTTTCAAAACTTCTTCATAAAACTTGGAATTTATTTAGGATTGGTCAGTAAACTTATTAAAAATAATCGAAAATAAGATTTCAGTAAAAACAAAAAAAACTTTTGTTTTCAACTCTCTCTCATAAATTCATGGAAATGTAATATTCTTCATTTTAACAAATTTAAAGGTTCGGTGCCAAATTTTTATCACATTAAAGGCCCTAATGATCCATTTTATTACCAATATTCAAACTAATCTCTATTACCTTTCTAATCCATTTAAAATTTGTACATTTAATCTCATCCATTAACACAACCACATTTTGTATAAAAAAAAGTTTTATATTTAAACCAATTGGTAAATTGGGTAACTTTTTTGCATAATGCAGTAAAAATTGGATCTCTTGTGTGTGGTTGAAAAATGAAAATTCTTGGCACTGTCCATTTAAAAACACTGCTATGGTGAAAGCATATCACAATGAACAAGTCTTTTTGCTCCAAAAACTTTAAGCATACCACTCATGCACACTTTGCAGTTCATAAAGCATGAGCAATTGAAAGGTAATAACAAATTTACTAATTATCACACTCATCAAAAATATTGCTAATTCTCAATTATCACTAAGGAAATTAGAAATAGTTTTAGGCACCATGGCATCAAATCCTGCGATATCCAGCATTCCTGAATCATTAGGGTCGGCAAAGCGAAGATGCTTCGCTGTCAATCCACATATGACTAATCTAAAAGAAAAATATACATATAGGTGTATATTTGATCGCATATAATTGAATAAATAAACACAGGTGTATATTTGACAGCATATAATTGAATAAATAAACACAACCAATTTTTGGATAACAGAAGTTGGATGATTAAAGGATCCGCAGTGTGTATTGCGCTAGCTCGATAATTAGGTCTTGGTGTTGGCCGAGAAATTTTATCCGGATTTTCCGGTGTTGTTTCCCCTTGTCATTGGTGCTGGACTGGCGAGGAACAGTGACTAGTCTTATGGATGATATGGAAAAAAAACAAGGTCCTAGGTACACACTGGATTGCATGCAAAAGAACCCTTGTAAATTGGAATTCCAAATGAAAGTAGACCATAGCACCACTGTCTGGGCAAACTATCATCCCTCATAGCACACTGTATGCCTGTCTTCATTATCCCAGTCAGTGCAGGAAAATACAACGTTAAACCCCATTTAATTTCATTTTGGATGGTTTTGTGTTTTTTATTCAGGTTTTTTTTTTATCATTTCAATAAAGAACTTACTTGGATTTAGGCAGTTTCATTTCTTGGCGATATTTCTGTAGAGCTGATGATGGAGTTATCACCCCTGTTGAATCTTTGCTATCTGTGAGTATTATAAAAGCATCATAGCTTTGTTTTGTTTCTTGAGCCCAACGTATTGGTGCAGACACATCACAAGCCAGAACAGGTATTTCCTGAAATATATTATAGAATGAACATGATGGACTGATATTAAAAACACAAATACATGTAACAAAGATAGGTTGCCAGGCAATGAAACATGTGCCCACAGCAGATAAATCGTACGGGTAGTCAACAAGAGTTGTCACATATTTTTACTTTTGTCGGTAATGAAACATTTATGATACACTAAAATCTGATTAATCTCATTAAGTAATTATCAGAAAATCATTAGAATTTTTTTGGCCCATGCTAAAGTTTAGTATGCAAAACATTTAATATCATAGATTTAGCTGTTCAAGTCATCAAAATTCATTGAAAATCAATATACTATGGTCTCTAAATCATCCACACGATTTTTCAAAGTGATCAAGGGCCATAACTCTGGCAGTAATTATCGGAAATCGACTTCTTTGTCTGATGACCTTAAACACTGTGTATAAATTTAAAGTTAATCGGATATTAACTTTAGCCTCTAGAGCGTCCACAAGATTTTTCAAAGTGATCAAGGGCTATACAGTCATTGTTTTTTGAGGCGCGCGATTGCTCTCGAGCGCCTGTCGCGCACCCAAATGTCGACCGAGGGGAGGTTTTTCTCCCTCGCCTTAGAATTGAAAATCGCTCTCCATATTTGTAAATCATGGACATGTATTTGGGTTTTTTTTCAAAAGAGTGTGAAAGACTCACATTCCGAGCGCCACTATGCTGTCATTGTGAACATTTATTTGGTGTATTAGGTATAATGTGATCGCACAAGGTAATAAAATTCCGATGAATATGTTGCTAAAAATAGATGGCGCCTGTGCACCATTGGTTAATTTAACTGAAATGAAAAGTAGAACTCTCGCGAGAAATTACGAGAGATGGCAAGTGAAAATTTCCAATGAGAATAATTCCGGAAGAAATAGATTATATTTTGATGGAATTTTCAAGCGTTTATGATTATATTTTGAATAGGGGTTATGTTTTTAAACAAACTTTATACAAGCTATATATATTTAGAAATGTCGACAAGTATTTCTATTGGAATACGTATGTACTGTAGTTATAGACGACAGTAGAAGTTTGACTTGACCGTACGACTACGAGTGCTATTATTTAGCAGACGATGTTTATTATCATTTATATGTAACCAAGAATGACCCCTTACACGCAGTTATTGATCTTCAGACCCATTTCCCATACAAACAACTAATCACTCTCCTTAATATCAGATCATTCTCCATAATTTCTAAATCACTCTTTTTATCGAAACTGGGAGAGCTTTGTTAGGGGAGCGATTTTTTCAATTTGTTCATTAAGGGGAGCTTTTTTCGGCTCTCCTCTAAAATACAAAAAACAACGACTGGCTATAACTCTTGCAGTAATTATTGGAAATCGCTGAAAATCAAAAGGATTCTTAGTCTCATGACCTTAAACACTGTGTATAAATTTAAAGTCATTCGGATATTAACTTTAGCCTCTAATTGATATTAACTTTAGCCTCTAGAGCATTCACAAGCAAATGTGACAATATAAGACCACATTTCAATGTGGGCGTATAAAAATCTTTTTGATGCTCTAGCGGCTATAGTTATCATCCGACTGATTTGAAATTTATACACCTTGTTCATGTTCATGAGACGAAGAAGCATATAGATTTTCAATGATTACTGCTAGCTACAGTTATCGCCCTTGATCAATTTAAAAATCTTCTGGATGTTCTAGACGAAGAATCCTATAGATTTCCAAGGATTTCTGATTAATCATTTCTGATATTTACTTCATTGTTTATTACTCTTGATCAGTTTTTAGTGTCTTGTAAATGCACCCAATATGTGACAACCTTTCGAGAATGCTCAAACAGTTTAGCTGCTGTCGGCATATTGTATTGCCTGGCAACCTATATTGTCTTCAAATTTTTGACTTTTTTATACCTGGATCATTAAATCCTGAGTTGTTCCTAATAAGGCTATTCCTGCTCTAATTAAGACATTCCCATACAATACTTACAGGTAAAGCCGCCTGAGCAATGGCATCACAAGTCTTTTCTATATCCATCTGTTTATTTGTTACTAATGGCTTGACTGCCGATGAAAAATATACCAGAGATGCAGTTTCTTCAGACTGCACAAACATTGTTGCTACTCCAGCGGCTGCTATCATTGATGATAAAGTTAACGTACCACGTACGGAACTGATTGTTAAGCCATACCCTATCTTAATAGCTATTAAAATTCTCTTCTTTGTTGGTATTACATTATTCTGTAAAACAAAAGATACGAACAAACGATACATTCTCATTTCCTTTAATCTCAAATAAAAGGTGTCAGTAGGTAAATGTTTGCTGTGCTAAATCCTTAATTTAATATAGATTATACAATGGATTGTGAGTAACTGTAACTGAGAGTCAAAGACGAAAAAAATTCTACTTATCAAGTACTGAAAGTAATAGATATGGAATATAAATGAAGTTGTATACCTTAATAGCTTTATAGAAAGCTGTATTTAATGCATTAGCAACAATCTCATTTCTAGGCCACTTCAATTTACCTTTACCTTGTTCATAATTCCTTAAAGCAATAAGCACTGATATAGGAGCAACACTGGAAAAAAAAAACAATTTCAATAGGATTCCTATTAGGGTTTCAAATATATTGAACAGACAAAAATGTTATGCCATATGAAATTAAATCTCTGTTTTATTTGGTATTAATCTGCATAGTTTGGATTTTAGATTTTAGATTACGAGAGGAGCCTTTGGTTATTTTAAGTAGATACTTAAAGGATTGTATGATACAAACAATATCAGTCATTTTGATAGACAAACATGATAATTTCTATTTCTACACTTGAAATAATCCTAAGGATTTGAACCTATATTTTTATATTGAAGAGCAGATTATAACATACCCATATTCTTTTAATACATTCTCATCACTTAATCTTGCTATAAGAGCTGGGAGTAAATGATGTCCATTATTTAAAACACCAAGTCCTGCCAACTTACTGACATTTAGTAGAACATCTACTATCGAAATATTGTTCAATAAGGCTGACCAGATCTAAAAAAAGAAATATGAAATATAGCCTAACATAGCATAAACAAAAGACAAAATTCTGAACCAACTATTCATGATCCTAAGCCATGGAAATAATGATATTAGTTCTACCTGACAAAATGTCATACACTACTGAAGTTGAACCTGACATTTTTAACTTTGTGTCGGACCTGTATCAAATATATCAACAAAATTTGAGAAAATAGACAAACCTGGGCTGGACAAAATTACAGGTACCAGAGGGATAGTGCCTAACAAAGCCTGAATTTGTGCCCAACATTGTCAGTGACAGGTACATTATTTCCCGACTTGATGATTCCCTCATGTCACAGTATATACAAGTGCTGGCTGAAAAGTTTGAAGCCGATATATATTATGTGAAAGACCTATACAAAGTTGATGGTTTCCATTTATTTTTTACATAGTCCCCGTCAGGGTGTACACACTTTTGCCAACGATGTTGCAAGACCTGGATGCTGGTCAGGAATAAATTTTCTTCAGCCATCCTAAAAAAAGTCATTCACAGCCGACATAACGTCATCATTACTAGGAAAATGACAACCGGCTAGTTCCTTTTTCATTTTTGGAAACAGATCTCATTACAAATCTGGTCAAACAATTATCAAGATCTGCTTCAAAACGGCTCAGATTGTCACGGGACGTCAGGAACCTGATACGTTTCTGATCGTCGACAGTCAAGAGGTTTGGCACCCATCTTGCAGAAACTTTTTTCATTCCTGACTCGTTGGTGATAATGTGCTCAACCCCCCGTGAAGGAATGCCCACAACACTGGCAATATGTTGAGTGGTCAATCGTCGATCAGCCATCACCATGTCATGCGTCCAGATAAGGTTTTCTGGAATGGTTGCTGTTGATTGGCTTCCAGGACGCGGGTCATTATCAATAGTGTAGAAAATCAGATCGAGATTTGTGAGCCGAATACTTTTGTTTGCTATCCGAATACTATTCGTCGGATAATTTGGAAACGTGAAATTCTTGAACAAAATCACATCAAAAGTTTATATACTCATAATTTCTTACTTATTTCAATGTTTATGAGTGTCTGCGTATGCCGAGTATGAAATCTTACTTTCGATTTGCAAATTGTTTGAGCCGCGAAGAAAACCAGCGGCTGCCAGGCAGAATACACCCACATTTTAGAGAGATGGATAGAGAACAAGCTAAAAAGAAAGTGATTTTTCCTACAATCAACGGCCATAATTCAGGAAATTACAATTCGATATGCGCAAATATCGAAAGGAACTGAAATCTCTGGATTATAAACTTACATTTCAAGTTTCAACAAAATCAGATAAAAATTGTGACCTCTATAGGGTCCACAACCTTGATATACCATATTTTTAAGCTATTTGAGAATGAGGGGTGGCCATTTTGTCTGTCAGTTTTGGGCCGATTTTCACGAAATTCGAACTTAGCCGTCCTTAGGATGTAACGGTGATATAATAATACGTTTTTTTAAATCGGATAAAAATTATGACCTCTATAGGGTCCACAAGCTAAAAACGCGATTTTTCGTACAATCAGGGGCCATAATTCAGGAAGTTATGGTCCGATATGCGCGAATATCGAAAGGAACCAAGATCTTTGGGTTATAAACTTAGATTTCAAGTTTCAACAAAATCAGATAAAAATTGTGACCTCTATAGGGTCCACAACCTTGATATACCATATTTTTACGCTATTTGAGAACGAACGGTGGCCATTTTGTCTGTCAGTTTTGGGCCGATTTTCACGAAATTCGAACTCGGCCCTTCTTAGGGTTTAACGGTGATATAATAATACGTTTTTTTAAATCAGATAAAAATTATGACCTCTATAGGGTCCACAAGCTAAAAACGCGATTTTTCGTACAATCAGGGGGCATAATTCAGGAAGTTATACCTTGATATACCATGTTTTTACGCTATTTGAGAACGAAGGGCGGCCATTTTGTCTGTCAATTTTGGGCTGAATTTCACGAAATTCGAACTGAGCCGTCCTTATGTTGTAACGGTGATATAATAATAAGATTTTTTAAATCGGATAAAAATTATGACCTCTATAGGGTCCACAAGCTAAAAACGCGATTTTCCGTACAATCAGGGGCCATAATTCAGGAAGTTATGGTCCGATATGCGCGAATATCGAAAGGAACTGAGATCTTTCGGTTATAAACTTACATTTCAAGTTTTAACAAAATCAGATAAAAATTGTGACCTCTATAGGGTCCACAACCTTGATATACCATATTTTTACGCTATCTGAGAACGAACGGTGGCCATTTTGTCTGTCAGTTTTGGGCCGATTTTCACGAAATTCGAACTCAGCCCTTCTTAGGGTTTAACGGTGATATAATAATACGTTTTTTTAAATCAGATAAAAATTATGACCTCTATAGGGTCCACAAGGCTGACCTTAAAAATATCTTTGTTTCACCAAACCCGACCCACAATCGAGGAGAAGGGTCGGTAGGTCGGTTTTTTTTTCAGATTTTTTTTTAAAGTCAGAGAAATCAATACAGAAAACTTATTAGCTGTATACTACAGATTCATTAATTTTGTTTAATGAATTTGGGGTCTGACGTAAAAAGTAACGAACTGAAAGTTTTTATTAAACTTAAGAGCTAATTTGACAGCTTAATAATTTTCCGGGTGGAAACATTCGTCTTCTTTATTGGCAAACAAATCAATGACATCGGGATTTTTCGTGATGCCCGACTCGCACACGATTAGCCACGAACTTGAAGTGTGAAACTCCTTCAACACGTTTTTAACGATAGTGCGCGTTGTGCTTTCATTTTTCTCGAAAACGGATATTGAAAATATCGTCGTCATGTTTAAAACTACGCACCACAGACATAGAGGCAGAATTATTTCGTGGGAATGGACGTGTATTCGTCTGCAACCATTTTGTTGAGAAGCGACACCTATGACGCTTTCGTCTTGATCAACCAGTTTCAATAATGAATCAAACCATAGCCATAGTATAGGGAAATAACTCTCATGATATATTTCAGGTTGACACACAAAATAAAATAAAAAGATCGTGGAAAAGTGCAATAAAATAATTTAAGTCGGGGGTGGTTTTAGTTAGTCGGTCGCGTTAGGCGAAACAAAGATATTTTTAAGGTCAGCCCAAGCTAAAAACGCGATTTTTCGTACAATCAGGGGGCATAATTCAGGAAGTTATACCTTGATATACCATGTTTTTACGCTATTTGAGAACGAAGGGCGGCCATTTTGTCTGTCAATTTTGGGCTGAATTTCACGAAATTCGAACTTAGCCGTCCTTAGGATGTAACGGTGATATTATAATACGTTTTTTTAAATCGGATAAAAATTATGACCTCTATAGGGTCCACAAGCTAAAAACGCGATTTTCCGTACAATCAGGGGCCATAATTCAGGAAGTTACGGTCCGATATGCACGAATATCGAAAGGAACTGAGATCTTTCGGTTATAAACTTACATTTCAAGTTTCAACAAAATCGGATAAAAATTGTGACCTCTATTGGGTCCACAACCTTGATATACCATATTTTTACGCTATTTGAGAACGAACGGTGGCCATTCTGTCTGTCAGTTTTGGGCCGATTTTCACGAAATTCGAACTCAGCCCTTCTTAGGGTTTAACGGTGATATAATAATACGTTTTTTTAAATCAGATAAAAATTATGACCTCTATACGGTCCACAAGCTAAAAACGCGATTTTTCGTACAATCAGGGGGCATAATTCAGGAAGTTATGGTCCGATATGCGCGAATGTCCAAAGGAACTGAGATCTTTGTGTTATAAACTTACATTTCCAGTTTCAACAAAATTGGATAAAAATTGTGACCTCTATAGGGTCCTGAACCTTGATATACCATATTTTTATGCTATTTGAGAACGAAGGGCGGCCATTTTGTCTGTCAGTTTTGGGCCGATTTTCACGAAATTCGAACTCAGCCGTCCTTAGGGTATAACGGTGATATAATTATACGATTTTTTAAATCGGATAAAAATTATGACCTCTATAGGGTCCACAAGCTAAAAACGTGATTTTTCGTACAATCAGGGGCCATAATTCAGGAAGTTACGGTCCGATATGCGCAAATATCAAAAGGAACCGAGATCTTTGGGTTATAAACTTATATTTCAAGTTTCAACAAAATCGGATAAAAATTGTGACCTCTATAGGGTCCACAACCTTGATATACCATATTTTTACGCTATCTGAGAACGAACGGCGGCCATTTTGTCTGTCAATTTTGGGCCGATTTTCACGAAATTTGAACTCAGTCGTCCTTATGGTGTAACGGTGATATAATAATACGTTTTTTTATATCGGATAAAAATTTTGACCTCTATAGGGTCCACAAGCTAAAAACGCGATTTTTCGTACAATCGGGCCATAATTCAGGAAGTTACAGTCCGATATGTGCGAATATCGAAAGGAACCGAGATCTTTGGGTTATAAACATACATTTCAAGTTTCAACAAAATCAGATAAAAATTGTGACCTCTATAGGGTCCACAAGCCGAAAACGTGATTTTTCGTACAAACAGGGGCCATAATCCATGAAGTTTCGATCCGATACATGCCAATATCGAAAGCAGCCCAGACCTTTTGGAGATACACCTATATTTCAAGTTTCGTTAAAATCGGATAAGAATTGTGTCCTGTAGAGTGTCCACAATGTCCACAAACAAACTATGGTGGGGGACTACAACCTTCTCAAATGTGTCCAAAGTACTTACTTCACACGAGTTTTGCATTTTAGTAGGGACATGTTCTTTCTTCAGATTAAACTGTTCAATAAGACAAGAAATCTGATGTTCATCTGTTGAGTGTTTTACTATGTCAACTGCCTCAATATATTTAATAATTTGGTCAGCTAAAGGACATTTTTTTTCAGTTGCCAATTTTTTAGCATCAGCTAAACCTTTCATCAAATATTTTATGATAATGGCTGTTTCTGAAAAAAACAATTTAATAAAATTAGATTAAGTTACATGACAGTCGACCCTTTGTGATCCCAGGTTTCCTCAATTCCGCCCAAATTTGGATTTTTTTCACCATTACAGTGGTAGGCCTAAACCTCAATAACAGAAAAGCCTGTGACTGGAATTAAGTCTGAATTCAGCAGTTTCCTGTGAATTTTGACTTTAAAATACCATTAAGATTACATAATTTTTAATCACAATTAACTTAAACTTTTCAAAAAAGTTATATGTGCTACAATTGTCTTCTTTTCCATGAAAACCTACCATCTTTGGCTGGGTTGGTATGACTAAGTCGCAAAACATCAACATGTGACCATGAACAACCAGATTTAAATCTTGTTACCAAATCCAACAGTTCTATTGGTTCTTTACGATTGTACCAGTTGCTGATAAGTGTCCGTAAAGATCGCCCCCATCCCTTGTGTTGATCTGACATCTGTTTGGAGTATTCAACAAAGTGAAATAAATCTGTTGGTTCCAAACATATATCTGCAAATGCTTTGCATGCTGCCTGTTTTGTTTTATTATCGGTAGATTTAAAGCAATATGCCAGGGCAAAGATTAAAGGCGGTTTGTAATTGTATTTATTTTCTCCAAAACAGGTACTTATTTGTTTCACTACCTCTTCGCCTTTTCCATCATCTATCAGACGACCAATTGATGATGCTTTTTCTCGTGATGGAGGCACATTTCCAACAGTAAGTAAACCAGAATCTGAACCATAACATATAAACCTTCTTGATCTTTCTAAATCACTGACGGTATTAGCTGACATTTTTTTTTTTACGAAAGTTATGTCTTCGAAACTAATAAGAACACAGCTTTTCTTAATTATTTCTTGATTTCAATGATCACAATTTTTTGAAATCGATTTCTAGTGAAGGCTCGCTTTACTTTCGCTTCATATTAGAACGAAATATTTATTGAGACCGAAAGAAGTATGTCCTTTTTAGTACTCTTAGATATTGAAAGTGTGATCTAGTATTGGTTCTAAGAAACTGAAGTCATTTCCTGAAGAATTTAGGGAATCTCCGGCATTCTTGGAAGAAAAGCGGCGAACGCTTTGCGAAATACGTCATGACTTTATGGGCTCCTCCGCTTTCCAACTTTTCGCATAAATATTTCTAATTTAAATACAATTTTCCGAAATGTAACCATTATCAATTCATCCACCTTTAGATAAATAAATTAAATAACTAAAACTAAATGTATAGTAATACGAAACTCTAGTATAGTGATATAAGTTGGCTTTGTATGTTTGACATAAAAGTCACATGATATAAGAATCCTCAAAATGGCGAGTCAGACACAGGGTATTCAGCAACTCTTAGCCGCAGAAAAGAAAGCTGCCGAAAAAGTATCCGATGCAAGAAGGAGTGAGTCTATTTATTATAGAAGAATTCAGTTATTTGACTATCACATTGATGCTAAAATTGTATTATTGGCAAAAATCTACGTTGAATTATTTTGTCCAAATGAACATGAAGGTATTTCATGTCAGTCACTTGACAACTCAGGCATCTTCCTGCACTTGTGGCGATTATAATTCATACGTCCTATTTGACTTTCAATTTTATTAGGCCTAGCATAGGGAAGGTGAATTATTTTATAAAAAGTATTTGTGTTCTTAGTAATTATTTATTAATGATCCTTTGTATAATAAAGAACTACAATTGTTATATTGCCTGAGAAAAGAAATGGATGAACTAATTTAGTAGGCCTAATGAACATTTCAAATTTTCAATTGTTTTATAGAATGTGAAAAATTCCAGAAAAATAATGTAATTATTTAGGAAAGACAGAACAGCACTGTTTCCCCTGTGACCTTTAATAAGATTTGCAATAATAAGAGTTACCAGAACAGAAATAGCAAGGCAGTGTCCCATTACCGAATATTATGTAAATTTTACCGATCATTTATATATTTATTTTTTTTAAGGAAAGGCTAACCGACTAAAGCAAGCCAAGAAAGAAGCTGATACAGAAATCAATACATATAAAACCGAGAGAGAAAGACAATATAAAGATTATGAAGCAAAGGTACTGAATTAATATACACACAGTAAAATGGCAAGCATAATTCGCTCGCGTCAGTAAAATAAATGCAGACCAATTTATGCTAGCAGTAGTGTAGTTATTTCTCCAAGTACGGCATTTTAAACTGTTTATTTTTATTGATGGCAGTGAGTATTTTGTTACAGCATTTCTTGTGTGCATAACAATGTAACATTTACCTGCAGATAACTATAATCAATAATTTTACAAATGTTTTAATCAGTAATAAATGTACATATTGGTAGTGGTATGGAAATCTACTATCTTCATGTATATTGTTCAGTATGGATTTTGTTAAATATTAATTTTAATTGAGCAAAATATCTTTCCTTTTCTTTTTTCAGGTCTTGGGGTCAAGAGGTGATATGGAAACCAAAATAGAAATAAGCACCAAACAAAAGATCCATGACTTAAGTGAAAGTGTTAAGAGGAATAAGGAGTCTGCATTGACAAGTTTATTAAACATAGTCTATGAGATTAATCCAGAGCTACACGAAAATCTTAAACTTTAGATACAACAAATATGCATAGATCAAAATTAAAAGTAGTATAAATATTACTCTTTCTTGTGGAGTAATTAGATTATATTAGTAAAATAGATCTAAACTTCTAAATTATATAGTGCTTTCTTTCCCAACTATCCTATATTTGCTCACCCAACCCTTTGCAATTAGTAAGCATTTGATCACCTGTTATGAGAGTGAATATAAGTATTTATGTTTTATTTAATCATATCTAAATAAATATTATAGTCTACATTTTAAAGTTTCTAGTCCCAAAATGGTATCGGTTATTTGTTTTTTTCCTTGAAAAATATTAATTGTAATAATAATGTCAGCTATCTGCTAATTAACATGTGTGAATGGAACATAATTTTTTATAATCGCTTCTTAAAAGATTTTGGGTTGACTACTCTTTGTTATATTGCTTTGTTAAAGAGCAGGGTTTCTTTCTATTTAAATTACAGAATGTCTATACAAAAATGTAACCGGATGAGAACTAGTGAAACAGTTACTATGTATGTAATGTACGAACTACGAAGCCATTCACAATACCTAGAAAGGGTAACTGCCATTTTGGTTTACACTATAGCCCTTCATTTCAGTCTTATTTGCATAATTTAACTCTTACATAAGCACACAGCTAAATTATGTATTATACCGCACGTCACTTTCAAAATGCATATGTACATGCATTGTTCCATGTTAGATTACGACTTATTACCAAATCCTGTTTGTGTGAATAGGGGTTCTCATATTAGCAATGGCTGTGATTCTTGTAACAAAGGTATGAAATATATATATATATATATACATGTATTCATTTATAGTATGGTTGTTAAACATTATCATCCAACTCATTTTAAATTATGATTTATTCTTACAAAACAATGATAACAATTTGTGTGAAATTAATGTTGATGTTTCGTTAAAGTTTTAAAACATGATATTTAATGACTGTCATATACTGACATTTATCTTTCCAAATGGTGTACATTTAATTAGTAATTTTGTTTGATTGGTATGTATAATGAATTCTGTGTGTATAACTGGTGTAATGTATAGGCTATGATAATAAACTGAATATAACTAGGTATAGTTTGTTTTTATACACCCACATTTTTTTATCCGATTTTGATTAAACTTGAAATGTAATATTATAATCCAAAGATCTTAGTTCCTTTCGATATTTGCGCATATGATTTTACGAAAAATCACGTTTTTAGCTTATCGACCCTCTAGAGGTCACAATTTTTATCCGATTTTAAAAAACGTGTAAACATATCACAGTTACACCCTAATGACAGTTAAAATCGAATTTTGTGAAAATCGGACTGAAAGGGCCCGACAAAATGGCCACTCCTTGTATGCAAATACCAAGGTTGTGGACCCTCTAGAAATCAAAATTTTTACCAGATTTTGATGAAACTTAAATATATATCTTTATATACCAAATATCTCGGTCCCTTACAATATTCGCACATTTCAGACCATAACTTCCTGGATTATGGCCCCTGATTTTACCAGAAAATGCTTATTTTTTTTTTAGTTTGTTCTGTCTGTATCCATCTCTTGCAAAATGTGGACGTATCTTGCCCTGCAACCGCTGGTTTGACTATTTGGGGGGAAGGAGGGGTATCCACCCAATATAATATGGAAGTATATTGTTGTCACCTTTGTCTTAATCCATTGATTAGTCGGTTGTCTGTAATTATAAAAGGAAGACATATCTACTTTAAGCCTGTCTGCTGCTTGTTCAAAGTATTTGACACTTTTTATACGCCCACATTTTCATGTGGACGTATATTGTCGTCGCCCCTGTCCGTCCACAATTGTTTGTGAACAGTCTACAGGTCACAATTTTTATCCGATTTCAATGAAACTTGAAATATAGGTTTATCACCCTAAGATCTCGGTTCCTTTCGATATTGGCATCTATCAGACCGTAACTTCATGGATTATGGCCCCTGATTGTACGAAAAATCACGTTTTTGGCTTGTGAACACTGTAGAGGTCACAATTTTTATCCGATTTTGTTGAAACTTGAAATGTAAGTTTATAACCCAAAGATCTCGGTTCCTTTCGATATTCGCGCATATCGGACCGTAATTTCCTGAATTATGGCCCCTGATTGTACGAAAAATCGCATTTTTAGCTTGTGGACCCTATAGAGGTCATAATTTTTATCCGATTTAAAAAAACGTATTATTATATCACCGTTACACCCTAAGGACGACTGAGTTTGAATTTCATGAAAATCGGCCCAAAATTGACAGACAAAATGGCCGCCGTTCATTCTCAAATAGCGTAAAAATATGGTATATCAAGGTTGTGGACCCTATAGAGGTCACAATTTTTATCCGATTTTGTTGAAACTTGAAATATAAGTTTATAACCCAAAGATCTCGGTTCCTTTCAATATTTGCCCATATCGGACCGTAACTTCCTGAATTATGGCCCCTGATTGTACGAAAAATCATGTTTTTAGCTTGTGGACCCATTAGAGGTCATAATTTTTATCCGATTTAAAAAACCGTCTTATTATATTACCGTTCCACCCTAAGGACAGTTGAGTTTGAATTTTGTGAAAATCGCTCTAAAATTGACAGACAAAATGTCCGCCGTTCGTTCTCAAATAGCGTAAAATATGGTATATCAAGGTTGTGGACCCTATAGAGGTCACAATTTTTATCCGATTTTGTTGAAACTTGAAATGTAAGTTTATAACACAAAGATCTCAGTTCCTTTCGATATATGCGCATATCGAATTGTAATTTCCTGAATTATGGCCCTTGATTGTAGGAAAAATCACTTTCTTGTTAGCTTGTTCTCTATCCATCTCTCGAAAATGTGGGCGTATCCTGCATGGCAGCCGCTGGTATTTATTTTTTTTTTCATACAGGCTGAAATCCTAGATACAAAAAATTACATTATGTATTGATATACATAACTGAAGAGAAATGATTCCCAATAAATTGTGATTATTCAGATTAAATTTGAACTAAGGCCATACAAAATAAATATTTTGGTCTTCAGACAACAGGTCTGTAAGTAGCGAGGGGGGAGGCAAGGGGAACAAATTGGTGGGCCAATAATATAATTGTCCTGGCGCCTATAATGCCGAGTGAGATTTGATAGACGCCAACGAATGAATTGGTCACACTCTAACCCGATTCCAAACTCTTCATTTTTATCATATATTATTATAGGTACGTTAAAGATGTATTCCTCCCTTCAAATTTTTATAATATTCATATCAAAACATCATAATACGCCAATATCGCAAATTCAGCCTCAAAATTGAAATTTCACGTTGGTTTCAGGTGCAAACCCTATTTTCCCAAATTTTCTGGGAGAGAGCACCGTAGACACTTTTCTGAAGGCAGGCATGTCCATGGTACTGTTTGCCGTGGACCGTTAAGTGTAGGTACATTGGGCTATATTGTGCCAAACATAATTGGGATTTTTTTGATACAAACTTGAGAAATGAGACTATACCACATTTCTAAATTCATTTTAAAAAGATGTGTAGAGCTTTTTCCTGTAACCAGGGTAAAATATTTATGCGGCAATTAATGAGACTGTTTTCATTTTTTAACATAAAAACTTGTCATGAAACCCTTTTTAAGTGATGTGGGATTCAGTGCCCTAGTAACCGGTGGCAGGAGCCCCTATGCTTCACGTTTCTTTGGGCCTCTCGACCTCCACCAACGCCTCCCTACAGTTTGTGACAAGTCAGTCTCTAACCAAATGTAGGCCTACACTGCATTTCATTGTTATAATGGTTTGAAGTATTCCCAATGCAATAAAGGTCCCCTTATTGTCACCTATTTTGTGACTTAGTCACACATCTGGTTCATTCATATGAACAATTTCCTCCTGGAAGCTACTATTGGAGTCTACCGGGTAGGTTTTCACCAGCCTCCTTGCCACATTCCTCAGTTGGCCACCGTTTAAAAGGATGCTTGGGGTTGTCCCCTGCTCTTGGTCTGCGTCAAGCGGTAGTATCAAAGAACCAGAATAGTTTACCTGTGCGGCATATTGTAGTTATTTCCCTTGTGTTGCGCGGCTTGTCAGGCAACCGATGTCTGCCGGTAGACCATACAAACGACTTTGGGTAACCAGATACTTAACCTTCTGAATTTAGATTTTATTTTTTTATTATCCACCAACTTTAATCCCCTTTATGATATCCGCTAAATTAATATAATAATAATAATAGTGTGTATTTATAATGCGCACATTCCATTCATGTATGCTCATGGCTCTTCACATATAGCCTACATATAATGGAAGAAGTTAGTATGATAAAGTAAATAGATATGTCTTTAATTGAGACTTGAAAGATTCCAAACTTTTGAAATTCTTAATTCCTAAAGGCAGAGAGTTCCATAGGATTGGTATTATGTAGGAGAAGGCTCCGTGTCTCAATGATTAAAGTTTATAAGTAGGTACAGTTAAAAGATATCCATTCTGCAATTGAATGTTCTTTGTGGTTTGTAGTCACAGGCACTTGAAGGGATTAAATTAAAACTTCTTACTACTGCTTGACTATATTATTATAGTATATCTTCTTACTACTGCTTGACTATATATTATTATAGTATATACTATAATAAAATACATGTAGTCAAGCAGTAGTAAGAAGTTTTATTTTAATCCCTTCAAGTACCTGTGTTTGAAGTTTGTTAGCAGGCTACTTAGATAAATAGGCGCAGTTCCCTTAAGGCATTTATAAGCTATACAAAGAAGTTTAAATTTAATCCTGCTTTGGGTTGGAAGCCAATGAAGGTCTTTCAGGAGTGGTGTTATGTGATTTCTGGTGGACTCAAAAACAGTTCGAGCTGCGGTGTTTTGTACTAGCTGTAATTTATTAATAAGTTTTTGATTGACACCCGAGAGAAGACTATTGCAGTAATCAATTCTTGATCAGTGTATGGGCAGCATCTTTGGAGATTAGATTGAGAATTTGAAGAATGGATCGCAGTGAAAAACTTAACTGCACACTTAAAATATGGAATACCAACATTAGCCAAAAAGCATGAATAACCTACACTGCCAAAAATCACGAATTACTCACGTCGCACGCAAGTTATGTCTCCTTAAGAGCACCACTATATTCTATTAAAATCTTAGTTGTCATTACTAGGAGAATGTTTGTCGAAATATTACATTGTAACGCACGAAAATAGTATGACTATAATTTATGATAAATTATGATGGTACGCATCCGTTACCGGAACAGCTGTTTTCCTATAGATGTTTTTTTTTTCAAAAACAATAGATTTCGATAGCAGTTATCGAATAGTGACAGTATAATGATGGATATTGTAAACGTTATTATAACGAATAGAAAATAACATGTTAGCAATATGCAGGGCTATTGACTTTAAAGTTAAACTGAACAAATCATTCGGTGTTGTTTATCAATTCATAGAAATTGTGTCAGTTCCTAAACTTAGGAATCCCAAGGCCTGGCCATGACGGTACATTGTAAATCGTTGGTTGAACGCATGGAGGTGTATATATTGATATACACCTCTATGGCTGCACGCTTCGGTCAGCAGTCATCATCATATGTTTGTGAATTTATACAAACGAAGACAAGAACATGCAGCAATCAAAACCTCAAATATGTACATTGTATATGGGAATGAATTGCAAAACATAAAACCATGCCTTGCTTCTCGCGGCCGTATTAATATTTTCTGAAATTTACAATTACGGGCCTGCTACTACATAGTATACTCCGGTTATAAGAAGTCATTATAATCTCACTTAAAGTAGCTAAGTCTCTAACTCAATATCATCAAAAATCTTCGACATTGAAAACACGAATTATTTGTCAATTCAAATCAACATTGGTCTTGTGATCTTACAGGGAAAAGATGGGCTTCTGATATCCAATATTCAAGACAAAATAAACATTTTACCATTGGTACATTTTGAACAAGGGACTCAAAGAACGCCACTAGACATATTCAACAAGTCATGTCAAATGGTGACGCTATATTCTTATCTGGAGAGCATGCGCAATAAATATCATCGGTGTAGACTGGAATAACCAGACGCTAAAGATTGCCATTCAGTTGAG